TGGAGCCCGAAACGATCCATTTGAATGATCGATCCGAATGTACCAGTACGCGTGACGAAATTTACTAGAATGATTCGGTCACGAGAAATGTATGATTGACACATGTCTACAGCAAGAATTCGAAATGAGACGTCCCGGCTTTGACGTAAAGATTGGTTAGTATTACGTAGGGAGCAACAACCGCACTAAATAGAAATCAGACAAAATGAACAAAAACGGTTACCGGACTATCCAATGGCCGCTTCGTTGCACTGGACGAACGACAATTGTGACGCCCACGCGGTGACATTAAAATGCATTTGACGTAAGAACGATAATATGAAGTAGCTGCAGTTTCGCACCATCTTATGACCTCTTTTACGTGGTAAGACATGCTGCAGATATATTATGGATTATAACATATAGATGTTCATAGCAGTTTAATTCTGCTGTGTTTTGTATGTTGAGTGTAGAGAACCCGAGACCCTTTTTACTGGAAATGAGGCATTCCATCTTAGTCCTCAGAGGCGACATCGAGGATAGGTGAAGATATCTATGGGCCACAATATCTACTTACCATCATGTGGACTGTGTGCTCATTTCTCACTCTTATACTATAAAAAAACTACTCGTTGTAAGGAATGCCTCTTTTAATAATCCTCATTAAATTCAGCAGAGCCACGCTTTTTTGACGTGAGGAAATCCTCATGGACGCCTTACGGTGGTTGCCTCAGAGCAAACAAAAAAAGGACCTTGGATCTCCGTTCGGGATGCATTCGGAGCCCTTCTATCTATTTGCATGACATGCCTTTTTCTATTTCTAGTAATTTTCTAGTTTTTTTTTTTTTACAATAGTAGAGTGACAAACGAGCTAATCGGCAGCCGCTTGATGAGAATGAATGAGCTTCTGCAAAAAACTTCAAATGAAGTTATTAAAAGTTTTGCAGCTATTGAGGACTAAGACGGAATCTCTCGCAACTTGTAATAATGCTGACTCTTATCCTTTCAAGTCAAACAGCACTATATGCGATGCTGTGTTTCCAAGAAGATACACAGAGATATAAAGAGTAAGGTAGAAAACGAGTCCTAAATCTGATGAAATATTTGACTTTCGAATGATAATGGTTAAACCATCTCGTGTATTCATTCATCATTCATAAAGGCCCATTAAGTGTACTGCTTAAAAAAGGGGCCTCCTCTATAGATTGCCACACAGGGAATATTTGCCATAGTTGCCAGTTGCCACGATTGGCAGGCGGATTGACAACCTTAGTATTTTATTATTATTATTATTATTTAATTATTATCTAGAAAATACTGCTGTCCATTTTCTGTTTCAGTTTTTTTATAGAATTAGGGTGACGAACGAGCACACAGTCTACCTGATGGTAAGTGGATGCTGTGCCCCATAGACATCTACATTTATCCTCGATTAAGAATCAAAATGCAGATGCATTGCTGACGACTAAGATGGAATGCCTAGATTCCAAAAAGGTTTTTTAAAAAGGGTCTCCGGTTCTCTACACTCAACCATACGAAACACAGCAGCATCAAGCTGCTATTTTACGCTGGCATTCTGTGAGAACGTGGTCCTTCCCGGTCGGGCCGACCCTTTCGTGCTACAACTATAATATAGCTGCAGCGTGGCTCTACCACTAAAGTTTCCCTCTGTCGCCCCTTACGACACTCACGGGATCACAGAATGACATGGGGTAGCGGATTTACAGCGCCACTACCCTGCATCTCGTATGTTAAGAATAAAAGGATAAAGTTAACTTGCGACCGAAATAGCCTTCGTAATGTTTCTGCAATGATTAATATTTAAAAATAAACTACCTAAATATAGGCATTCTGAGAAACTAAGCGATTCGAATTATCAGCGAGGAAGTTGATAAGGCCAGTGGTAACACTAAAGGGATTATAATTTTTAGATAATGACGTTGTGTCAGAGATAGTGTTTGTCATTTCTCTTGCTCACAGTGAATTTTAGAAATTATATACGTATCTGACGTATTGCACTTGATGATTTGTTGTATACAAGACATTAACATATTTATTTATCGAGTATGTATGCGATATATTAATAGTTTCCCTGTCTGCGAAACAGCCACAATAGTTAGACTATTGAAATGTTCATATATGATAAATGAGTTAAGGAAAGGGTTAAAGATGGTCCAGATTAAGAGTAGGTACCCTTAACCAACGAGCATGTATGCGTAGGTATAATAATAATGTCCTCCAGACTAATTTTCGGTCACGGCGACCTGCCACAACAGAGACTAGCCATCGGCGCAGGACAGGATTATAGTGCCCAAGTGTATGCGCAAGCACAGGCTGTGCACTCTGTTCCCTCACTCTTATAGTCCGATGGGACGGTAAACCGACACGACCGTAGAGAGATCAGGCGCAGGACCAACGGCTTTACGTGCTTTCCGAGGCACTGGGATGGAGCACCGCCAACTTCCTGACTCCGAGCAACTACTGAGAATTTCTTGACGAAAAAACTTAATAATAAATTTTTTGATCCGACCCGGGATTCGAACACAGGACTTCATTATCAGCAGTCGCACTACTACAACACGTGTTGGTATATGGATGTAAAGGAGTTATGATGTGAGAGAGGTTTGTCAGGATCGTGCCAAATGGAAGTCCGTAGTTTCTACCGTGTCTGGGTGACATACGTGAGAATTCATGTATGACCATGATTCAAGGGAACTAAAGTGTTTGAAATTTCATATTTATATATAAACCGTGCTACTTCCATTATTAGTTAATATTTGTTATTAAATTGTTTACGTTTTTAATTTATTATGTCTAATGCGATCTACGTTATCAGTGCTCTAAGAAGTCTGCTGTCTGTATTCATACTCAGAATGACAATCTTAACATCGTACAATTAGGCTATTCGTTGACTATTGGTAAATTTAGTACCTATCCACGTAAAACAGTTTAATTTGTTTTGACACAACTTTTTTGTTCAATGCTCACATCAGAACAGATCATCTTAACAACAGCAACAATAACAAGAAGTCATAACTCTCATTATGGATGCGCAATAAGATTTATTGTTTCAAATCAGAACTATTGACATCCAGCAGTCTTTAGTGGTACCATTACTTAGTACTCGATCATTTGTAGACTCTGCTCATCGACACAAATTTAGATATTTCCGGTTTGACTATTTTAGAAATGTTTACACCGGCATTTCCGTCGAATATTGTAAGTTTTAGTGCCCTCACTACTGTGTTCCGGTCTGAAGGATACAGAGAGTCATTACAAACACAGGCTGTGAGGCGTTCCATCTTAGTCCTCGGATGTGACAACACATCTGTAGCCGTCTTAGTTTGAAATAAATTGCAGGTGTCCATGGGCAGTAGCCACTTACAACCAGGCACTTCAATTTAACAATTAAAAATTAAAAATGTTGTACAACCGACTTCAATATAAATTAATGAAGCATTACTCGAAAACTAGTGCTCCGTAGTAGCTCCGTGGCGCAGTAGCTTAGCAATGAGTTATAGCGCTGTGGGCCGCGGGTTCGAATCCCGCACGGAACAAGTATTTGTATGGCTTACAAGTAATTGCTCCGGATCTGGATGTTTGTCCTTGTACAATTTATGTATGTAAACTGCCTTCACGATACAGGAGAAAATCCTAGTGTGGGGGTAATGTTTTTTTTAATTATCGGTCAGACCTTGACCAAATTTATATGGGACCACATAAGAAGCACCAGTTTTCAAATAAAAAAAGAATCATCAAAATCGGTTCATCTAGAAAAAAATGAGGTAACAACTTAACACACATAAAAAAGAATATAGAGTCGAATTGAATACCTCCTCCTTGCGAAGTCGGTAGAAAAAAAAGCATTTCCTACGGATTAGGGCGATGGTGTTTCTTATGCAATAATTATGAACAATGAGGAGTAAACTCCTTAAAGTAAGATGAAGCATTATATAATTTAAAATTTTAATTGTCATTAATATTCAAAACGAGCTGCGCTCCGCACGGTTGCCCGACACACTGTATGAAAAAGAAATAATTTTTAAGCCAATTAGGGCTAATAATCTTTAGCTCACAAGATGTCGCTAGTTTACACTGAAGTGAAGTTTCTTTATTACACAATGTCATTTAATTAAGAAATTAGACCTACATAAAAGTTTATCAATTTCTAGAGTATTTAATGTACTAAATAATGCCTCATTGGTTTGCTGTTTAATTTTTTTTTAATATCACAGAAAGGAACATCAACTTTTATATTTTTTGAACAAATTAACTTCCCCGCTATAAAATTTGTCGAATATAACACCTCATTTTTATGTGGTGCCGCCCTGGTGGCAGAAAAAGCCGTGAATGCCCTCATTGCAGCCCAATTTTTATTAAACGGTAATTCCACTTGGAATTTCGTCAGTATAGTGACGGCGTTTTATGCGTATAAATTGCTAGTACACAGAAATAGCCATACTTGGTAGTCACACTACAGCTATGTTATGGTTGTAGCACGAATGGGTCGGCTCGACCGGCGAAGGATCACGCTCTCACAGAATACCAGCGTGAAATAGCAGCATAAAGCTGCTGTTTCGTATGATGACAGAGAAGCGACGATTCTTTTGACTGATAACGAGACATTCCATCCTAGTTCTCAGGGATGCCGTTGAGTCATCGAGTATAGATGATGTCTGGTCGTGGTAGATCCATGTTGCACCTATGTTATAATTGTAGCACAAATGGGTCGGCTCGACCGGGGAAGGACCACGCTCTCACAGAATACCAGCGTGAAATAGTGGCGTGGCGTGGACTGTTTACCCATTGGTCACCCCTTTTTCTATAAAACAAATTCTAGAGCCGAAATATATCTTTAAACTATTTTTAGGTGCATTGCTTATGCATACCGGTGGTTTGTGGGGCCCTAGAAATACTTATTCAAAAAATAATTAAACAGTCTAAAAAAATGAAGGTTATGTAACTTTACGTGTAAAAATACCAAAAATTACTAAGTCAGAAATATAAATAAAAAAACTTACCTCTAAATCGTTTCTGGCATGGTTGAGCTTCTCCAGGTACATTCGCAAGGCGTCCACCGATGTGACCGTCTCATCCTGGATATCATTCTTGTCCAGAATGGCCTTGATCTTCTCCACCAGTTGGCAGAAGTCTTTCCAGATTTCTAAGTCTTGTTCCAGTTGCGCTTGGCGTGACTTGGCCGAATTCAGTGTGTTCTTCAGAAGTTGGTTGTGTTTCTGATGGTCTTTGGACAACTCTTCCTGTTCAGAGGCAGTGAGAGATGGCCATATCTTGTCAACAATATCCTGCATTTTCTTTCCGACCAAATCTTTCATCTCCGGTTCGGAGGTATTGAAAAATGACTTGTGTTCTTCCAAATCTGCCTCGATGTTTTCAAAATCTGTGCCGTTTTTACCCATGTCCAGTCTAATTCCAGCCTCGTTCACCCAAATGTTCAACTTCTCGACCATTTGGATATACTGCTGCCTGTACTTCTTGTTGTCTTTTAAGTGTTTTTCTCTGTTAGCTAATTCGTCTGGTAGTGATGTCTTCAGCGAGTTACCCTCCGATACCATTTCGAGAAGAGAACCAGGTACACCATCATCAGCTTTTATGATGTCAGAGATCTTTGTGAATTTGTCCAAATACGACTGTACATTCTTGGCTAGAGTGGCGTGTTCGATTAGCTTCTTGTCGACGCTAGCGACGTCTCTGTTTAATAGCGGCCGTGAGTGCACTGCGGCCTCGTTGTCATGTAGCCATTGTAATATTTCCGCCAGATCAGCTGCAAGTTTCTTGTGCTCTGCGGCGGCCCTTTCATGTTCCTGCCTCTTTGATTCTACAGTTCTTCTCAAGGTTAGGAGTTGTTGCTTCAGGGACTGCAGAAGCTCAGTGATGTTGTTTCTATCGATGACAGTTCCTTCCGCTGCGATTTGCTGACCCTTGTCCGTAGCAGTCGCTAGAAGTGCTTCGCATCCTTGGATCTTAACAATGATGTCGTCATAGCGCTTGATCTTGTCTTCTAAAGAGTCGTTAGACCTTTCGATTTCGGCGGTAACGTCTGTATATTTAGCAATGAATTCTTCAATTTCCTTAACGAGGGTGAAGAATTGCTCACGAAGGAGCAGAAGCTGTTTCAGTTTCGAAATCTGATCTTCTATGGTGCTTATTAGGTCATCCTGTTGAGAGAGTATATCTTGAAGATCATGTAGGTTTCCCCCTTGCAGTTCATTCAACATGGACTTATTCTTCTTAAGATCAGCAAGAATGGATTCGTAAGCTTGAATGATGGGTTGAACATCCTCAACTTTACTGCCTATAGGTTTGTTTAGAGCTTTAAGTTTGTTCTGGATTTCATTAAGGAACTCTAGAGCGGCTGCAATCTTAGCCGCTGCATCTTTGTATTCTTTAATGTGTTTAATTAAGATATTCTTTTTGTCATTTATAATAGCGTTAATTCTAGCGAATTTGTCAGAAAGAACATTGACTTGTTCTTTGAGTTGCAGTTTGTTGGAGTCTGATAAGGTTTCCATGATGTCCTTTGATTTGTCTTTAATTTTGATGATATTCTTCTCCATATCCTCGGCTTCTTTGCTAAGTTTTTCGAACTTGGCCAACTGTTCTTCCAAGAGTTGTAGACTTGTTGTTCGCAGTTCAGGAGTAGCCGCGACTTCAGCTTCATTCAGCCAGCCCTGGCATTTTGCAACATCGTTTTCAAATTCATTCCTACCTTGAAGCAACTTATTCAAAGCCGTCAGTTTGTCATCTATGTCTACTTTAGCAGACGTGTAAGATTTATTTAGACCTTCCAGTAGGGTTTGTAATTTTGCACGATCTTCTGGGGAGCAATCTTTGGAGACAGCATTTCCTTGACGTATAACCTCGGAAAGTGTATCGGTATTGAAATCCGATAATTCACTTTGGTGTTTCTTGTGAACAGCGATTTCCTTTTCAACCTTAGCTACTTCTAATGGAACAGGGCCTCCGAGTTTCTTAATTTCAGCTAATTTAGATTTGAGCCAATTCTTGGCCTTTTCAACATCGTTTTCTAACTTCTTTCTAACTTCAGCACATCCACTTAATCTTTCGATCTCTTGTTTGATAAGAGAAGCCAGTTGTTTTTGTTTTGAAGAAAGTTCTGACAATTCTGACTCTAATTGCATTTGTTCGGAAGGTTCAAGCTCAGCTTGGATGTTGCTTACTTTCTTTTCCAGAGAGTCAATGACGGTCTTCTTTCCGTCAGTTTCCTTCAAGAGATTAGCTATCTTCTTCTGTCTCTCTTTGACTGATTTGCTTTCATAGCCAAGTGGCTCTGGGTGAAGAATATTGTCGATCTCCTTTTGCAACCATTCATTTTGAGCATTGACCTCGCTCTTAGTTCCATCGATAGCTTTGTAGGTGATTTCAAGCATCTGCAGCTTGCGCTGGATCCGTTTCGCAATATCATTATATCTTCTTTCGACCGACTTCATCTGAAACAAAATTATCATTATTAAGCAAATATGTTTATTCCATTGAACGTAATTGACGAAAGAACTAAAGTTACTGAGATAATTAACAAAAAAGTGCCCGAATTAGCAGTACGCTAGCTTTACTATTAACTCAAAGGAATAATATCCGATAAAAAATACACAGGAAAAACTTTTTTAAATGAGCTAGATGGGTTCTTGAAAGACGACTTTGAAGATGTTTGGGTAAATATAGTTGACACTTAATGTCATTATAACCAATGTGAACTAAAGATTTATCAATTTTTATAAAGAGATTTTACAAAATTTTTATTTAGACCTGCCAATATTTCCTGACATTTTCCTAAATAATTTAAGTAAAATGATTACTGTCAAAATACTTACTTGTTCTTCTACTTGTTGAGACTCCAAATTACTAACAATGTTGATCACCTGCGTTCCAACAGCCTTGATGTTATCAACCTTATCTTTTCCAGCTTGACCAAACTCGGCTGAAAGCTCTTTCAATGCGCTTAGTTTTTGAGGGCATGGTAGACCAGAGCCTTTGTCTGCAAGACACATTTTCTTCAAAACCGAATCAAACCAGTCGTGGATTTCCTGGCACTTGTGGCGGAAGTCGTCAATGATGCCTTGGTTAGACTTTTCTCTTTCTATTGCTTGAAGTATTGTCCTCTCAAGGTTGTCCAGTTCTTCTTCAAGGTTTATTTCATCCTCTAGCCCTGTGAATAAGTTTCTTTCGTTACTTTTGTAAGACTGCAGAATTTAATTGCTATTTACATACGATACGATAGTAATAAGCACACCTAATAATCCTCATAGTCGTCTTTTCTTATTATATTTTAACCCACCCATCGAAGCCTCTGATAGTCCACAGCTGAATATAGGCCTCCCCTTATATTGCCTCAGGATATTTTTTACAGTTTTTTTTTCTATTGGTCATTAGGAAGACGCAGCTACCCTTTTCACGGTTTGTTTTCCTTAGTCGTCTTTTACGACACTGTTGGGAAGATATGGTGTCGTAGAAATTCTTACATGGCCATTACACGGACAGATAGGTTAGATGAAGTATAATATATTTTTTTACCATTTATTATAATAAAATTAAATAATAGAATGTAATAAAATTAAATTTCATATAGAGAAGATGGCTGGGTGCTACCGTCTGCTTGGGATCCTATAATAAATAAAATTAAATCCCAACCCAAGCATACAACTGCAAGACTTCAAGATACCATAAATTCATACTGTGTAGATCAGAACAAAAGTTAAATTTTAATCTATGGTAACCGCGGTTAACTATGACATCTGGACGTTGAACATCTCAGTCCTGCCCGTGACCATGAGTGCTGTAAAGCGTTCGAAACGTCGGGTATTTAAAAAGTTAAATATACGCGATAAATTCCGTAAAATCTAGTATTATTTCAAAATTAAATAGCGTTTGATATCGTCATATATAATATAGACGCAATGACCCTATTTTATAATAAATGTCAAAAAATACAAAACGTTTTCAATTTAAAATAGAATGTTGTAAGTTTTGTAAATAACCTAAATGATATTGTATGTTTATGAAAATCATCTGAAGAGATATCAGGCGAGCTTTGTTCCAATGTTCATTCGTGAACATGTTCCTGGCGATCAGCCAAACGAAGCACGTTAGCAAAGTTGGAAATGTTTCATTAATCCAAATTAGTTTAACTATATTCAGTTTATATGCGTATGGTATTTGGGGATACAATTTATATTATAAACACTTGACAGTCAAGTTGCTTAAACGTTTATAATAAGAAATTAACGGTTTTCCAAATCTTCTTCCTGCCTGTATCCTAAGTAATTTGGGGTTGGCATCATACTACGTATTTTACTTCCATTCTCCTGTACCAACCGTCGTCTCATCACTGACTTCTTTATTAAGCATATCAATTTTACACAGTTCAATTATCTTTTTTTAGATTGCTCTACACTCTTATATCCATCCTCTTTTATATCCAACATTCTTCCTTTTACATGAAGTCTTGTCAAAATGTATCTTATTCTATCATCACATGTAACTTGCGGTGCATATAAACTTAATAATTTTAAAACTACATCGCTTATCAAAAGCTTATACCAAAATTACTCTATCATTGTTCCTTTTATTTTCGTTACACATATCTTTGGTGATAAGGTTTTTTTTTTCAAGGAATGATTATTAGAATATCATTTCTTAGAATGATTCGTTTGTCACATAAAGTTTCATTAAACAAAGTAATGTTAGAGTAATTTAGTACAAAAAATAAACTTATACTTTTACTACATAAGTAATTTTATACTGTCATATAAGGAAAAGGATTGGTAATTAATTGTTACCTTCTGTAGGAATTTCAGTTAGCAGCCGATTCCTCTTTTCAGCCAGGGAAGCCAAAGCATCATTCATAGCAGCCATATCATATTTAGCCGCTTCGGGTCGCAGTTTCGATGGATTTGAGAGCCAATCATGGGCTAAAGCTTTGTGAACGTTGATCCATTCTTGGATTTCCAGCACTTGTTTCATGGCGTCTTCCATTCCCTGGACAGCATCTCCGAGGGTTTCAAGATGACTTTGTACCTAAAGAGAATTTGTATGTTAGAAATTGCTGGTTGGAGATGGGCTTAATGTGGGTGATTTTAATAAAGCATCGATTTAGTGTTTATGCTACATAATATGTAGAGTAATTTCAAAAAGCTTGAAGTAGTGCGTAACGAAGTAATACCCAACCTAACCTATTTTAAATATAAATTTGATTTAGGGGAACGTTACGATTTTTAGTTTAACAATCTTGGTGAAATCATTTATTTAATTAACTTACGAAGTAAATATGGAACACTTCAGCTATCATATGTTTAAACAATAACAGTATTTATAGAAACACTTAAACAAAAACTTAATTTGTTAATTAAAAACCTGAATGTAAGAATATAAAGTTCGATTAAAGAAGCAAAATTAAAATTAATACCATAAAATAAAGTTATAAAAAAATGGTTTTTAAATTTTTGTTTAGGGCAAAAATTACATAGTTACATTTAATAACATAACATAACACACCCACCCAGAGGACCCCCACTCCAATATACTCTTCAAATTGACGTAACCCTGTCCCAAATAATATATATGATGGCCTTTTTGAAAAGTTTATTATATTTAAGTATAACGAGTAATATGTACCTATTCTTTTCCTAATAGTTGTTTCTTCGTGTGTAGACGTGCTGATAATGATGTAATACGAACTATTATTTTAATTAGGGATATTATTTCAGAGTGGTAAACTAAATTTAAAAAGCTTGTGCTTCTTTATTATTTCACACAAATTTTTGTCTTAAATATGTATTTATATATGATTGAACATATCCTTTATAAACAACGTTTTTGACAGTCACAAATATGAGGTGTGTTTCTTTCTTGATTATTTTTTAAAACGACTGTAACGACTCATAACAAATTCAAATTAAGACAACACACAAGGAAACTTCATTCATTCTAACCCAACCCCACGCTATAATTTAAGTAGGTAGGTAGGGACTAAGTTCTCAGCACTCTGTGGATCCACGTGTAGCGTGCAAAAGCCTTACCTTACGCTCGAAAGTGGTCAGTTTCTCGCTGAATTCGGGCGCTTCGAGGCTCTTAAGCAACACATCAACTCGTGGCGCCGCGCCCAAGTCGCTCAAACGTTTCTAAGGACAGACAGCATGCTCACAGCAACGCAACAAACAACGCCGTGCGTGTTAGTACGCGTAGTAATGTGCGGCAGAAATTTATAATTGAAGGATTAGGTTGTTTTTGATACATGATTGAAACGACTTACATACTTACGTTCAACTTGATAACGGCAAAGTACAGGAGAGTTACGATACACATGTCTTTAATTTAATGATATCAGGCAAGTGATTCATCTGTACATATCGCATGTCAAAATAATTTTACCTTCTAAACTTAAGACAGCGAAATCAATAGGCATTTTAACATCATTTCATATCAGTTAAAATAAGACACACCTTTTGAGTTACTTTTATTCCAGAACGATCGATGTCAGAATCAAAGAGAATGGAAATAAATTTGCCCATAATAATTTTAAATTTTAAAAAAGATGTTTCCAAAGTAATGATAATAAATTTTCTAAAAATTAATAAACTCTAATCCAAATAAACTACTTTCTGCCTCACATAAACTGATAGTATCGCCACGTATCACGGTGTATTAAAAGGTGAAAGTCAAGGTATCAAAACACAGGTGCACGTGTTTAAACAAACAATCTTTGGTGATTCACGCTCTATTATGCTATATCAATAAATTCTTAATAAAAAATTGAGTTGAGCCAAACTTACTTTTCTTTAATACAATTTAAATCTATTTCTTTCACCGAAAACTTACAAAAACATGGTGTTATTAAACTGAAAAAGTACATTAAATTTGTTGAGAAGCAAGACACAAGAACTTCATCATTTTCAAATTTAAATTCCATTTTATCGCTTTTGCTAAATGAAATAATTGACTAATAATTATTAATTGAGTAGTAATTATTAAATCAAATATAAAAAGCTCAACTCAACCTTGATAATCTCTAGCAAATTAAACAGAATTAAATGTGCGTTGATAATCAAGTGTTTTCTCCTCTGCTTCATTTTGTAAAGATGTCAAATAATACCAGGTGCAAAAATACACATTGCCAACGACAAAGCCTGTACAATTTTTACATCCTATCTACTCTATTGTCTACCTACCACTGCCTCAGACTATTTGTGTAAATATATCAGAAAATACCTTACTTTTAAAGTTATACTAGCTCGTTGGTTCTGTTCTTTTTCGGACCTGGCAAACTTAAGCATATAAACAGCAAACAAATTTATTTTAGATGATTGGTATAGCAATAAATTAAATTGTAAAACATTATCCTACTATATTTAGTTTAACTGCTGTATAATATTTCTATATTACTAACAGACAAAGAAATATAATTATTGATAACTTTAAAATATTTTAATATGCTATTTATTGCCATTGTCATCAATCAATGTTGACAACATTAACAGACAGGTACTTTGCGCTAATATGAAATATTAGCAAACATTTGGAAATTTTATCAAAAATATAAATTAGTTGATAACAAAATATTTTAATAACTTAAAAATTATATCTTTGGTGAAGCTTTTAAATCGATTAAAAGAGAAAAACACAAGCAAGGTTATAATTAAAGCAAAAACACAAACACAATTCAAAACATCATGCTTTATAGAGGAGGGGAGGTACGGACTCTAAACTCCAATATTGGCTGTATCTTTTGAGATTTCTTGTATTGTGTTTTATGAAAATATTATAAATATTGTTTTGATAGGACCAGGTGAGAAGTATTTGCTATTTGTACGTGAACTGCTGCAGGTCTGATGATGAAGCAGAACATTATTTTTTGTAACTCTGCGAAGGCTCATACTTAGAAGACGGGGTTTTGGCTTTTTTTTTTTGATAGTGTTTGGTGAGTAGCTTCTGTAGAAAAACATCGTCGGAAACTATGTGGAATATAGTTTTCTGTAGCGTTAACGATCGTAAAATATCGTCTTGTATCTCCTCTCCCTGTTGTTTACGTGTGTGTGTGGTGTGTGAACTGTGTGCGATAAGATAGAATAGATCAACATAGAGGAGTACAGTTTTTCGTAGCGTTAACGGTTGTATCCTGTACGTACGTCTCCCCTACCCTTCCACCTCTGTAGTTTACGAGTGCGTGCGGGTGTGTGAGCGCCTGGTTGATAAGCTCCTCAAAGCTGTTACTCATGTGTGTATGTGTGCGAGCTGCTGCTTGCGCACCCGCTCGATGCAGTTCCCCAGACTGGTAATGTGTGTGTGTTGGTTGATGAGCTTGCGGGTGTTAGTGATGTGTGTGTGTGCAGTGTGTTTGTGTGTGCGTGTGCGTGTGGGCGCGTACCTGATCGATGAGGTCTTCGAGGCGCGCGCGCACGAGCAGCTCGCGCGGCGGCACGGGCAGCGGCGCGGAGTCGGCGGGCGACGCGGGCCGCGACACGGACGCCGCGGCCGCCGAGCACGCAGCCACCGCTGCCGACAGCCGCGCCTTCTCCGTCTGCAGCCGGTTATGCAGCGCCTGCACCGCCACACCAAGACACAACAACGTCAATACGGCTACTAGTCTCCAAACACTTCTATGTATTTTTTTATAGGATAGACCACCCAGGAGTCCTGACTTGACTTCAATAGACTTCTTTTTATAGGAGGGGGGGGGGGCAAACGAGCGTACGATTCACCTGATGTTAAGTGACTACCGCCGTCCATGAACAACTGCAACACCAGGGAAATTGCAAGTGCGTTGCCGGCCTTTTAGAAAGGAGTAACCTCTTTTCTTAAAGGTCCCTAAGTCGTACGGTCGGGAAAAATCGCCGGAGGTAAACTATTCCAGAGAGAGTACGTACGCGGAAGAAAACTCCTAGTGAAACATACAGTGATAGACCGCCAAGCATCCAGATGGTGTGGATGGTATCGGGAGTTTTGCCGCGATGTGGTTCATGAAATTTGGCGGCAGGGTTTAATCCAAACAATTCTTCAGAACACTCCATATAATAGATGCGAAAGAAAATACAAAGGGATGCAACTCCTCTTCGCAGCGCCAGTGAATCTAGCCGATCGGAAAGTACTCGGTCGTCGACGATTTGAGCCGCTCTGCGCTGGATGCAATCAATTGGAAGGAGCTGGCACTGGGGAGCCCCAGCCCAGAGATGGGAACAGTATTCCATGTGTGGCCGAACCTGCGCCTAGTAAAGTTGCAGGCGGTGTACTACTGAATGAAATACTGTCCCGCTCTGCTTAGCACGCCAAGCTTTTTAGTGGCCAATTTGACCTTCTCTTCCAAGTGACCACGAAACTGCACGTCACTCGATATGTCGACGCCGAGGATTGTGATACTGACTGAGGCAACAAGGGGAGTGCCTTGAAACTGAAGAGTTAGGGTTTCTTTTTAGCGGCAAACGCGCAAACTTGTGTCTTCTGAGGATTAAACTGGACAAGACTGAGTCGTCCCCAATCCGAGACTTTGTTCAGCAAAGATTCGACTTCAGACATTTACGAACCAAGCCCTGTGTAAACCGTACATTCGGCATGGAGCACTCACACCGTGGGATGGTCTGCGGTGTGCTTCCCCCGTCATAGAGTGTCGAGTTAGACGCAAAGAAAGAGCCTAGAAGAACGGCTTTGTCCAGTGGACATGGGCCAGTGAGTCGTCCTCACTGTGCAGAGATAGAAGAGATGGCTGACAGAAATTCCTTTGGACAGCTTTGGCGAGAGATCAGAATGCACGGGTTCCAGAAGAAAGGCGAACTAGTTTTTCGCCAATTCTGCCGCTGTGCTCTGATTTTTCCTTGGAAATGACTCTTTTGAATAACCTGGAGGCGGAATTGTACTTCCTTTTTAGGGCGCTTGTGTTTACATCCCGGAACGTTGATGCGTCAGCCCAGGCCCGGTAGCAATCCTGCTTATAGCATGATGCTATTTTACAGGAGCGACTAAGCCATTGCTGAGATCTGCCTCCGACGGGCACCACAGAGAAAGGAATAAAAATTCCACACCCTGAAGTACCAAATCAGCGACAGAATCAGCAACAACATTGGGATCGCCCGGCGAGAAGCAAAGCACCCAAGGGTAGGATTCAAAGAAAGACCGCATCCTACCCCAATCGGCCGACCTATAGTGCCAAACACAAAGATTTCCGCAAAGTAACGGCTGATTCTATCAATAGTTCTTTGCTATTTCACGCTGCGAATATACATTGAAATCTTGAAGGCCATGCCGCAGTCAAAATTTCCATGTATGCTACTAGTGTACAGTAGTGCGAGTTATCTAGTAGTGCAACCGCTGATTTACCTGTACTAGTCCGAGGCCTATACCCAGCAGTGAACTGTTACGGGGTGGTAAATTAGAAAATATGGTAAACGCAAAACTCATCAACTTACCCTTGCTCTGTCCAACAAATCGCGGCCATGAGACAGTCCATCGACCGGAACGTCGAGCTCGGTAATGGCTGGCTCACACTCGTCTAGATTATTCAATATACTCTCCAAAGTATCTTCGTATTCCTTAAACTTAGCAAGACCCTCTCTGAGGCGCCTTTCGATTTGTAGCGCAGTCGCCAAAAGACTCTTGTGGCTATCATTGACATTCTTCAGCTGTTTGCCGACAGTGTCACGGATGGACGGCGTGGTACCCTCGTAACGCTCGATTTGAGCACGACCCTTAGCTTCCAAAACGTCTAGTGTGGATCGGTACTTCTGTATATCATCCAGTAACACTGCATGTTGAGCCAACTGTTCCTCTGTCTGCTCCCTATTGGCAATGTAAAGCGAATTGTGAGCCATGAGCTGAAATGAGACTTGCAAGAGCCATTTCTCCGTATCTTGCAACGATTGGTGGTACTGATTGTAATCTTTGATTTCGTTCTCTAGTTCTGCTTTCTTTGCACTGCATTTGGCTCTTAAGGCGTTGCGTTTCTTTTCGATGTCCGTCACTGATTCTTTAACGGCTGGTTTCCTTGCCCATGCGCTAAGCTCGGCAGCCTCGTCTTTAAGCCTGTCCATTTCTGGCTTCTTGTTATCGATTTCATCTTCAATGTGTTTGTACTTTTCGAGCAATGTCTTCATCTCGCCTAATTCTCCACCCGTTGCAGGCACTTTATCAAGGTTCTGTTCAGTGTCGTTGAGCCATTGGTTGAGTTTGTTCTTAGATTCTTCGAAGTCTTCCCATTTGCCGATTGCTGCTTTCAATTGAGCAGTTATAGAGTTTAGATCGATTTTCAGCTGATCCCAGCTTTCTTGAAGAATCTGGACGTCGCTGCGCAAACTGTCCTGTTCCTCAGGTGGAGTGTTGTTAAGGGCTTTCTTAAACGCCTCTTGTAAGACGACTAGTAGATGGTGGCCCTCCGTCATTCTGTTACTAACGAGCTTAACAGTTTCGAGCTTGTCCTTGGTGGTTTCAATGTCACCAACTCCTATTGAATCTTGTACTGTACCATGAGCTGTCTCCAACCATTGCTGCAATTCTTCCTTGGCTTTGATAAATTCAGTATGATCTGATAAATTCTTCTCACCATTGGAAACTAAGCTCTGTATCTTCGTTAATAAGGATGTATATTCAGTTTGTAGATTTACAGTTTTGTCGCGGACCCAGGCGCAAGCGCTGAGTTCCATAAGGTTTTCGCATCTGTCATTAAGTTCTTCTAAAACGTGTTTGTTTGCAAGCGCCTGAGCAAGTAAGTCCTAAAAGGAAACATTAAGTTTAATACAGACCTAACAACAACACAGAATTTAACTCTTTTCAAAGATATTTGATTTTGTGATTGCCAAATATATTTAATTTTACGATATCCAAAAAATTTTCATTTTCAATTGGCAAAGATGTCTAATTTTGCGATTATAAAAGATTTTTAATTTTGCTATTCTCAAAGAAATTTAAGTTTGCGATTGCCAAAGATGTTTAATTCTGCAATTGCCAAAGATATTTAAATAAATGAAGAATTAAAAATTAAAAATAATATATTTTCTGGATATTTTCGATTTCTGGACATTTAAATTTCAATTAATTTCTTAATATTTAAATTCAAGGAATCCAAAAATAACCACACCAACTTCATATAAATACTTACGCGGCACTTATCCAGATATTCAGGAGTGATCTTATCAACCTTTTGGACTGCACTTAACTTTCCATCGAAATCTTTGACCCACTTGCTCATCTTCTCCGACGTCTCTAAGAAGTCTGACCAAGCAGAGAGGCATTTCTCTAACAACTTCTTGGTGTCCTTGCAAATGTGCTGCAAGTTCTCCCACTCTATCTTCAACTGTTTGATCTCCTGGTTAATGTTGTCTTTGCCTTCATTTCCAGTCGTTTCTAACACAGCTTCACTCAGCTGTATTGCCTTTTTAAGCAATGCTTCGCCTTTTGGCAAAGATTCAATGATTTTGTTGACATTTATCAGTTTCTTCTGCACTTCTTGCTTCTCCCCATGAGAGTCGGAACATTGTTGGATTTCGATCTTACAGTTGCGTATCCAGTCGTAGAAGCTGTCATAGGATTCTTTGTATTGTATGTGGGAATTCACGTAGTCTTCCACTTTCTGAGAAGGGAAAAAAACAAATTATAATATTTTTAAACAATACATTATACAGCTAATAAATAACTTGGCAATATCTGCCATTTCTAAGTTCATTACAATCTGTTGCATATCTGTTTGCTTCATTAAATCTAAATGAACAAGCAATATTCCCCGTTACACAACACACAATAATGTTTAATTTAATCTAAAGCGATAAAATATAAAATAAATATCGCAAGGCCGTAATCACCCGTGTGGACTCTGGACCCCTTCATAAAAAGTACGAGTAACAATTCATTTCCGAAATATGTAACACTTACACCAATCATCTCACTGACAGTCTTCTTGATGTCTTCATACCTCTTCAAGGTGTCTTCGATGTCCTTGGATTTCAACGATGCATCCTCTTGAAGCTTTTCATTGAGCTTATTGACAAGGTCTTTGTGGGAGTCGATATCTCTGTTGAAGGTCCTGAATTTCTCCAACTTGGCCTTCTTTTCCGACAGGTCATTGAGAAGTGAGTCATCTGATTGTATCTTCTGGTCTATGTCATCAAGCCATTCAACCAGGAGTTTGTGAATCTGAAATAAAAGACATTGATTATCATCATCATCAGCATATCTAAGCATTAAAAAGTAAAGTTACGGCATACATACGTGCCAAAGCCGGGCACAAACTTTCCCACCCTATACGATCCCGTGGCTGTGGTAAGAGGCGACAGAAGTAAGCTAAAACTGGAAATGGACAGTAGCACCATCCGTCATCAGGAATGGAAAATTAAAAAAAAAAACGGTTTTTCTATTCTTCTATCACATCCTGCCAAGCGTGTCAACTATGGAAAATTCCTCCTTATGAGGCAGTGTAATGCGGAGGCATATGTTGAGCAGTCGTCTTTTGACAGGCGGTAACAAATGAATGAATGGTTGAATGAGTGAACGTTTTAAAAAAATCTCAGTATGCAAAGACGAATATGTGTTTCTAATTTCTATAATAAACATGCAAATCATCCTACCTTAGAAATATCATCAAACTGTGAGGCTCTGCTCGTCAACTTATTACGCACGTCCTGCAAGTCGGCGATTAGCTTATCGAATTCCTGTTTCAAATTATCCGTGTCTTCTTGTATTTTCGCTGCGCCGGCCTGCTCCGTGTTCATTGTCACCTTCTCCTTGAGTTCCAGAAGGTATCTCAACTTGTTCTGGCCCTGTTCCAGAGACTGGCGGAGAAGCTTCACCGTGTTGAGTTTATTGTTGACTTCTTGGAGGTTGTTCGGTATGTCAGCGCACTGGTTGAGCTTCTCACGAGTCCTGTCCAGCCAGTCTTGGCATTCTCCGTAGAGAGCGTTGTGTTGCTGGTGTTCCTGCAATAATTGGCGCTCATTTAATATCATATTTTAAGCCCCAATTGGGTTTTTGTTTATATTAAAATAAAGTGTAATTAATTAAAACATTATTTTTTTAAATGTTACTAAACACTATGATTTACTCCTGTATTGTTGAGGCAGTTTACATACATAAATTGTACTAGGACAAACATCCCGACACAATTACTTGTAGGCCGTTCAAATACTTATTCCGTACGGAATTCGAACCTGCGGGCTTCAACGCAACTCATTGCTAAGCCACTGCGCCACTGAGCCGTCATTTTAATTTTAATTTTACCCAAATTATTTTTTTTTAATATAATAAGTATGACAAACAAGCACTCAGTCTATCTGGTGGTAAGTGGATGCTGTGGCCATACATTTATCCTCAATTAAGAATTAAAATGGAGACGCGTCGTCATCCCTGAGGACTAAGATGGAATGCCTCATTTCCAGTAAAAAGGGTCACCGGTTAACTGCTATTTTACGCTTTTATTCTGTGAGAGCGTGTTCTTACCCAGGTCAAGTCAACCCATTCGTGCTATATATATATAGTACCTGTGTAGCACAGTTCAAATGTACTAAATAAACGGATAAGTCTTACCTGGTAATGAAGTTCAAGTCGCTTCATGACCTCCTTAGCCAAAGACAACAAGGCGTTGTATTTTGTAGTTAGCTGGGTGATACCATTAGAGATCCTTGTGTCCGCACAGGTTTCTAGAAGTGTCTGCGCTCGCATGTTTAGTTTGTCTAAGTCAGCTTGCCAGTCGAATAAGGTTTGAAGGTGGCCCTGGGTTGTGCAAGACAAAATTATTTTATTTATTTACACTAAAGTGATCAAGCAGGCGTGTTTAGTTACTATCCAAAAGGTTAAATAAAGGTTAAGTTTTACTGGGTGTGATGTTAAAAAAATTTATCTCAATAGAATTTGTAATGTTCAATTAGCCCAAAATAGAATTAATCAGTTTTTCAAATACTTTTTGATATTGTTTATATCATTTGCCAACATAGTTAATATTTAACTAAAACCGACACACCATCTGATAGTGATATCATTCTAGATATTGAACAAGCTAGTTTAAAAAATATTTTTACAAAACAAAGTCATAATTACGGAAAGCAAACATTATATATAGTAACGTATTAACACCACATAAAGAATTTATAAACATCACGATAAAAAACCGAAGCAAAATTAAAAAATAAAAATATATTAGAACACTAGAATATTTACACACCTGGAACTCTTCAAGAACAACTTTCTTCTGCTCCAGATTATTCTGCAACTTGTTAAAAGATTGCACGAGTTTCTCAGTCTTAGACAACCAATCCAAGGCTTCCTTATATTGCTCTTCATATTCTGTCCACTTCACGATACCTCCTTCGATTAATGCTTTAGTATTGTTCAATTGTTCCCTAACAGTTAAAAAAATTAATAAGATCATTTTTTAATGTGTAAATTAATACTTACTTTCAAGAAGGAATGTTAAAATAAACAGAAAAAGTGAGACTATTAATACAGACTTTCCAACAAAAGTATTAACAAGACCAATTTACGACCTTGCTCCCCGTCAAAACTGTGAAATATTTTTATTTCTCTGAGACGGCGATTCTCTAATCAACTTTTAGCACAATACATTTCCTTACGCCGTAGCCACGCTGTAAATAATATTATACGAACTAAATATACTTACACGTAGGTATCGAATTCTTCTTGCAATAGAGCCACTTCTTCCTCTATCTCCTCTCTGTCGTCCTCGTCAGCCAGACCACAAGAAATCTCTCCCTGTTCAAGAGCTTTCTGCAGCTTCTTTTGTCCATCAGGTAGTTCACTTTCTAACACTTTAAGCTGTGATATTTTACTGCTTAGAGATTCTTTGTCGCCGGTCGCGTCGGAGCATTTTCCTAACCTCTCCTTAGCGGCTCTAATCCATTGGACAAAATCTGTACCAGCATCAATAAACGCTTGATGTTGTTCGACTGTTTCCTTCTGTTTTTCATATAAATCTTTAGCCTGCTTTGACAATGTTTCGTACTTGCTGGTAATTTCAGACGCAGGCGCCTGTTGCATCAATTCCGAAGCCTTAGAAGTTACAGACTGTATCATGGGCTCAAACGAAACGATATCTTGTACAATATTGTTTGTTTGACGAAGTGTAGCTTTTCTTTCGCCGAGACTAAGACCGGTAGTGAGACCAGCAAGGCGATCTTGACCTTTCTTAGATTTGGCAACTTTTTGTTCACACACTTCTTGTAATTTCGCCTCCCTGTCGGATATCCATTGTTGTAATTGAGAGTAACTAGAACTGTAATCTGCCCATTGTAGCAGAGCAGTCTCCAGATGAACCTTAGCTGTAGTCATTTTCTTAACAAGACGATCCCATTCATTTTGCAACTCCTTTAATTCAGTGTTAATTTTGTCTTTGCCGTCGGATCGTGTGTTCCTCAAAACTTTCTCCCCGCTGTTAACAGTAGCGTGGACTAGATTCTGACCTTCCTCACGGCGTCTTAGGAGATCCTCAATTTGTCCTAAACGTTTCTGTAATGCTTCTTTGCTGCTATTGCTACCAGCCTCGCTACCACTTCGAGTAATTTCCCAAGCATCATCAATCCATTTCTTTGTCTTAACATAGTTGTCGTCATAGTTTTGATGCTGTTCGTAATTAGTTTCTACCTTCTTCAATACGTCATTCGCCATGTTTACCAGAACCTGGTATCTGGAGTTAAGATGACGAAGTTGGTTGTTTACATAAGTGTCCAAATGTGAAGACAGAAGGCCGGAAGCGGAAGCATTGAATTTATCAATATCAGCTTTACCTTTACTTAGTTGATCTACTATTTCCTTTACTTCATTTACTTGAGCCCCCTTTTCTTTAGCTGTTCCGTGCAATACTAATTTGTGATTTTTGATGAGAATTTCTTTTTGTTGCAACCAGTCTGAAAGCCTCTCGTATTCATCTTTGTACTCACGCCACTGGTTGATTGTTTCTTCCAGTTGGTTCTTTTGTTGTTTAATCTCATTGAAAAGATCATCAAAGCTTTCCTTAAGAGCTTTCATTTCATTTTTAATTGTTATTTGTCCGTCAGGTGAAGTACTAGCAAGGACAACTTCACCAGTATGCTGCAAGTGTTCTAGTAACAACTCCCCTTGAGCTTGTTTATTAATAAGTGTTTCTAACGGAGCTACAGCATTTTCGATTGCTAACTTGTCGCTCAAAGGTTTAGATTTTAACGAAGGGACTTTTTCTCTTGCTCTGCTCAACCACTGAATAAGTTCATCATGAGCTTCCTTGTATAAACGATGATCTTTATATTGCTCTTCGCGGTCTGAAAGCAATTTCTTAATTTTGTCATAAAGTGAGTCAAACTTGTTAAGAGCTTCTTGGGCTCTAGTAGCAGCCTGATTTTGTTGCCCGCTTGCAATCATTTCAGCCGCCTTAGCTTTAAGAGTATCAACATCTAGTCGATCACAGCGTGCTTTTTCTTCAACTTCTTTCAGTTTTTCTAATTGAGCTCTCTTTTCGGACATGGAACTTTCACAAGGCGTTAACTCTGCAAGCATATTTTCCAGCCAAGTGTTGCTTTTATCAACGAATTGTATTTGTTCCAAAAATCCTGCCCATTTTGTTACAGAATCGTCCAACATATTCTTAGTTTCAATCATCCTTGACAGTAAAGCTGACCACTGTTCTTGTAAAGTGACCAAAGAGTTATTAATAGCTTCATGGCCAGACGGTGCAGTGTTAGCCATTACGTTTTGCGCTAGTTCAACCAAAGATTGTACTTTGGTAAATCCTTCATCTTTCGATAGCAGCAGATTTTGAATCAACACTAGCTTTGTTTCTAAGTCATCTTGTGAACATGAGCTCAAATCAGCGCAAAAGTCCAACTTATCTCTTAACTCCTCAATCCATTGGGAACATTCAGCGACATTGGTTGTGAACTCTTGATGAGTTTTAACGTAATGTTGCCATCTATTTGTTAAATCCTTTACTTTTTGAGATAAGGTTTGATATTTTACAGTAAGGTCTGATATTTGTGAACCACGAGGTCCAAGCATACCCGTGTATAGATGTTGGGCCTTCTCTGTTATGTTATCGATTTCAAGTTCTTTTGCACGAACTTCTCCCTGAAGTTCTTGAAACTTATTATATTGTTCTTGTTTTTCAGATAGTGTTGCCTTAAGGTCAACTGCATGAATTTGATTATCTGTATTTCTAATCCAAGCCAAGCATTGATCTTTCATATTCTCGTATTCATTCCATTGCTGAATTTTGTTTTCTAAGCCTTCAATTGTTTTATTAATAAAAGATACCAAGCCCTCCCATTCTTGGTGGGAAGCATCAACTTGATTTCGTATATTAGCCTGACCGCTACTCACAGTGCCAGGCAAGACTTTCTCACCCAATGATCGTATTTTATCGATGCGGTTCTTTTCCTCCGGTAAATTTACTTGTAATGATTTTAGCTTCTCGCAGTTACTACTTAAAGCTACTCTTTCTAAGTTGACGTCACCCCAAAGTTGGGCGGTATTATGAGTTGCCTCTATCCATTCCTGCAGATCCATAACAGCTTTAGTATATTGTTGATGGTTGTTGACAATAGCTTCGTATTGCTCAACAAAAGATTTCGCCCTTGCAAGAATTGCATCTTGCCTTTGCTTTAGTTGATTTATCTCTTTTCTAATATCTTTCGTTACGTCGGGTAAACTCTGAGCCCGTGTTTCTAAATCAATTATACTTTGTTGATGGGCAATAGCATCTTGTAGATAGTTTCTATAAACATTAAGTTGATGACGTTTTTCATCCAAAGTAGCTTTTAATTCTATCTCTTTTGGAAGATTCTTTTCAGCAATAGTCAACCATTCTTGTACAGCCTTCAAATTATCTTCAAAAGACGACCACTTGCTCAGTTCAGAATCCAAGTCTCTTTCAGCCTTAGTGATACTGTCGTACAAGTTGTCTATAGCCTGTTGAATATCCTGTAACTGTTGTTCTATCAATTCTTTTCCTTCTGGTGATGTAGATGGATATAATTTCTCACCAAGTTCAACTGTGTTATTCATTAGGAGAGTTGCATTGCGCTGTTGACTCATCAACTCGTTTAAGCTTTCCCGTTTAGCATTTATTCCTTCAGGAGTATTTGATAATTTTTTTTGGCATTCTTCAAATTTGTATTGTGCTGTTTTAATCCAGTCCGTACACTGGTTATATTTCTCTTGATACGCATTATGATCGTTAACTGCTTGCTGACATTTCTTAACAAGTTCTTTGGCAGTAGAATGCACAGATTGGAAGCGAGATGTCATTTGCTGGAGATTCATAGTAATTCTGGTATCATTGCAATTTTCAATGAGATCACTGAATTCATCAGTTAGTTTATCTACATCGTTTTCTGTCTTTTTAAGGTTAGCCAGTATTGCCTGCAAGAAAATGTTTAACAATAAGTTTTAAGTTTATATGTCATTACCATTACGTTTAAACTAAACTACGACAACTACAATTAATATAGACAAAAAGGGTTATTTTCTTCTAATATATTACCACTTAGAATTTAATTTATTATACATATTAAACCAAAAACCATAAATAGTTAGTCAAACTTCATACAAAAAAGGGAAGTATAAGTTTATAGAATAAATATGTTTGTTGTAGTTTTATCATCCCTCAGGTTAGATTCTAAAATTTTTGTAAAATGCTACTGAAAATTATAGCAACTTTTATAGTGCAAAAATAAGGAGAGATTTGAAGTTTCTCTTTACTATAAGTCTTACTTGATCCAAGGCTTCACCCAGACTTATGACCACATTCAAATCAGTCTCGTGACAATCAATTGCTTTACATAAATCCTGTTCAACATATTGTATAATTAGCATCATTGTTATTTACAAAAATAATATTAAATTCAAATACATACCTGGTATTTGTTAAGTTGGTCAATTTTTTCCTCCAAAGTGGCTTTAGGTGTATAAGTTTTTAAGCTCATTTCTGTATCACTGAGCCAGTGCTGTAGGCGGTCATTGGCGCTATCAAACTCAATCCACTGCTGTATTTTGTCTTCAATGCCACGCTTGACATCATGAACAGTCGTAGTAAACTTTTCAAGATCAGCCCTGAGGAGACTTAATTCACGTGACATACCATCTTTACCTCTAGGTGATAACTCCGTACTGTTATTTTCTATTAGATCGGATAAAATTTTAAGCTTATTGCTGCCTGTCGGTATAGCGTCAAGTAGTTCTTGAATTTTTGCTAACTTGCTCTGAAGAGCAGCTTTATTTCCAGTAAAATCAGACAGTAAATGCAGACGGTCCCACAAATGTTTTTGGTAGTCTTGCAACGATTTTTGTTGATCTGCGAAATTTTGATAGATTTCGTACGTACTTTCATGTTTATCAATTATACTTGACAACCTATTCGTCAAAGCATTATATCTGTCCCAAATAGATTGAATTAGGCTTGACATTTCATCATTTTCTTCTTTACCTGTAAGGAGGGTAGAAGCTACACTTTTAGCTTTTTCAGTAACTGTTTCAATTACCCGTTTGTGTGAGAGAATTTCTTGCAATAATGTTTTATTTTTAAGAAGCTTTGATTTAATTTCTTGGGCTGAGTTTAGGACAGCTTTTTCTTCATTTTCAACAACTTTTTCTTTTTCATCTAACCAGGACAAAGTTTGTTGTAACACCTCTTGATAGCTAGACCACTGTAACGTTTGAGACTCGTATTCTTTCTGCTGCTGTAATATACTATCGTTTAATTGATCCCACCTTTCCCTTAAAACTCTTATTTCAGTACGAATGTTCTCCCTGCCGTTTGCAGCAGTCTCAGGCAACACTTTATCACCCGCTGTTGTCAGAATACCAATCTTGTGTTCGCCATTGTCTCTTTCGAGTAAAAATACTTGCAATTTGTTTCCCTTGTTTTCAATACTTAATTTATCCTCTTTAGTTATCATCTGTGACAGTTGTTCTTCTAAGGGTTTTAACCATGTTTCAAATTCGTTTCTCAACTGAATATATTTCTTATGATCAGCAACCACTTCGGACCAATGATTAAGAATTTCTTTCGAAATAACATGCAGCTGTTGGTAGCGGCTGCTGACTTGTGTTACAAGAGGCTTAAGTCTTTCAACGCCACTTATTTGTATAAGATTATGTGATTCATCAACAAAGGAGTCAATTTCCTTTTCTTTTGCATGGATATCGTTACGAAGATCAACGTATCTCTTTAACTGTGCCTCCTTTTCTTGTAATGTTGAACATAGTGCCTGATCGCGACATTTAGTTTCCATGTCCTTTAGCCATTCAGTAATAGCTTCAATAGAAGAATCAAATTTGTTCCAAATATCTAAAGTACTTTTTAGCTTATGTTCTGAAGATCCAATGTTGTCAATAGCGTTGCGAAGTTGAGCAAGTAAGTTATCAATTTCTGTTTTAATGGCTGTATTGCCAGCTTCAGATGTACTTTTGCTAACCAAGGTAAATATAGATCCGATTTCGTCTAATTTACTAGAACCAATTTTTTCGATGTCTTTTAAAGAAACAACAGTCTGTAGTTTTCTAATAATTTCAGGTTTTTCACCAGTAGCATTTTCGCAGTCCAATATTTTTTCTGATTGTGAACCCAACCATTCTTTAAACTGTTGGATAAGACGTACTAAATCTTCGTGGCGTTTTACGCAGTCCTCTAAATTATCTTGTAAGTTTTGGGACTTAGTTACAATGTTCTGAAATAATTGCTTTATTGATTGTAAATATACATTCAATGATGCATCGTGTGTTTGATCAACAAGCTGCTGAGCTTTATCGCAAACAGACTCGACAAGTTGTTGGTGAGTCATTATTTCTTGGTGCATTAACTTGTGGTTTTGTAGCTGCGCTTTCTTTTCTTCTAAAGAAGCTTTTAACTCGGTATGACGCTGCATTGCTCTTTCAACATCTTTTAACCATTTAGTTAGTTGCTCTTGAGCTAAAGAAAAATCAGAAAATTGTAAGAGACATTGGTCCAGTTTATTGACGGTCTCTTGAAAACTATCACCAAAACTGTCCCATAAAGTTCTAATTTTTCGAATCTTTTGACGTATAACTTCTCTACCATCGGGACTAGTGTGTGCATATAGCTTTTCTCCTAAACTGAGAAATTCTTCGAAAGCAGGGGTTTTCTTGTTCCTAGTTTCATAAAGCTCTTTAGCTTTGTTCTGTTTCTCTTGTAAAATGGCATAGTCTCCAACTATTTCATTAAGGTCTTGTAGCTCACCAAGCATACCTAGCAACCAGTTTTCCATATCATTATAGTCTTTCTCAAAAGCACTGTGTTCAGATACAAATACTTCATACTTGGAAATAATTTCATTTACAAGATTGTTTAAGGTATGGTAACGCGTCGTCAATTTAGATGTCTTGTTTGTAATTTCAGACTCACTCGAAACAGGTTGTTTGTTACTTGTCAGGGCAACGAAATCTGCGTTTCTTGAAGCTAGCTCGCTTCGTATCTCCTTAACTTTTCGCAAGTGACCTATTTTAGCCTCAAGATTATTTTTAAGGCTTTGATCTCTGAGTTGATTTTCCTTAATTTTTAACCACTCTTCAAGTTCATCAAGAGTTTTTTGACTTTCATTCCACTGCTTCAACATATCTTTCAACTTTTTATCTTGTTCTTCACACTGCGTAGTAAATTGGTCCCAAGTAGCTTTTAATTGTTCGAAATCACTTATAAGAACAGGATGTCCATTCGCATTTGTATTTTCTAAGACAGTGTGTAATTGCGATTTTAGTTCATCGAGAATATTCTTAACATTCTGTGTTTTAGACGTGACCTTCTCTATAGCAGTGATTTTGGCGTCAACGTCGTCCTTTTGTGTTACAACACTGTAAGTTAGCATACTATTTTCAGCAATGATATGATTAAGGCGATCACGAGTTTCTTCAAACATCTGCCCATACTTTTCATGATCTGAAACGTGGGATTCACAAGCAGCTATTCTTTTACCAAGTTCTTTTGACATATCTTTATATCGCTCTATTGTTTTAGAAAGACTTTTCTCCGCTTCCTCATCGGGCATTAACTTAATTTTCTCCGTTAATTGTGAAAGCATCGATTCGTGTAATTCAACTTCTTGAAGTAAGATCTTGTTAGCATGAAGTTGCGCTTTCTTTTCAGGTAACGTAGAGCATAACTTGAAATCGCATAATTCTTTTTCCTTGTCACTTATCCATTTCTGCACTTGGTTGAAGGTGTCATCGAATGAAGACCTTTTGTTTATAGTTGTTTCAATATCTTTAATAACGTTATTCAATGAATCGACAGAATCTTCAAAATAATCTCTTAAAGCTCTTAGTTCATTTCTCACTTGTTCACGTCCTTCTGGATTAATTCCACTGAATAAGGCTTCACCAGATTCGATAGCATTATTTAGCAATTTTTGACCCATTTCTTTGTTTTCGCTAAGTTTTTTCACTTGTGCTAAATCAGCGGCAGATGGCTTAGCGTGCTTACTCATTGCAGCTAAGTCTGCGATCTTTGAATTAGCATCTTCAAGCCAATTTTTAAACTCCATGATTGATTTGTCATATGTTCCTTTATTGTTCTGAAGGTCTTTCAGTCTACTTAGATGGTTATCCATGAACTTACTTACAGTCTGATATCTGCTTACTAGGTGATTAATATGTTGCAGTACGCGTGATTCAGGATTGCAGGATAATATCTTGTCGCCAATAGCTGTTAGTTTAGTAATTTCTTCTCCGTATTTTTTAATATCGTTATTAAGTTCTTCGATTTCAATAATTTTATCTTTAATTGCATTCATATCGTGTAGATTAGCGGATTCTTGTCTTATTTGATTTTCCTTCTCTCTCAACCACAATGAAACATTTTCTAATAATGTTTCATATTCTTGCCAAGCTTCAATATTTCCTTGCAGTCTATTTTTTATTTCTTCATAGTTTGCTGTCAAAACATTTAGATTCTTTTGGGCTTTCTCTGTTTGGACTGCTGCTTCTTGAGTAGTTGCAGGTTCAGCGACAACACGCAGTATTTCACAAGCCTCCTTTAATTCCTTCACCTTTTGATTACAATCAGCGATGCCATTCTCAACATCGGCAAGAGCAGCAGCTTTGACTTCTAAGTTATATTTATCACTTGACACATCCGGTACACACCATCTTGTCTTATCATCTAAAATCTTTAAATTTCTATTAAACATACTGAGTTTATCGGTAAAGAGTTTTTGTAAGAAAGTCAAAAGAGTTATCTCGGTTTTATTAGCATGTACTGTTACACTTTCAAATCTTTTTTGTAATGTATTAAGTTCTTTTGGAACCAATGATTCATAGAATCCTGGATAGTTTGCGTTCATTTCAGAAACATTTTGAGAGAGGTTATCAATCTCATCACTTAGATTTTGTAGCTCAGTTTTGCAAGCTTGACATTTCTTTAAGCGGTCTAATATCTTAGCATTATCTCCAGACATATCGTCACATTTAATAATATCGTCTCTGATTTTGCTAACACCATCAGAAAGACGTTTAATATTATCTTTTAATTTGTTCTCTTTAGACTCTAAAGACGAAACTGCGCTTTCCAAGTTATCAGCTAACGTTTGCAATGCTTCAAATTCTTTATCTAGATATTCAATTATAGAAGAAACTTGTCCCATAGGAATATTTTTATTAAGGTTAGTAATCTGTTCACATTTAGCTTTTATACTATTCTTAAGCCCAGTGTATATTGGCAACTCTTCCTTATAATTTGTAAGATGATTTTGTCCGAATCTTATTTCCAAATTATCACAGGCATTCGATAAATTTTGCCCCGTTTCACTTAACCAGGTAACTATTTGATTCTTCGTGTCATCAATCTGGCGCCAGACTAGAAGTTGGGATTCCAAATCTTGAATTCTCTTAATAATGGCATCATTTTCTTTTTCCCAAAGTGTCTGAGATTCTAAGAATGCATTTTCTAAAGGACTCGTGTCAAATCCTCCTAATGTTGATGCTTGTTTTAGTACAGATTGCTTAATGACGTCCATTTGATCTAACAAACCTTTAGATCGTTTAAGAATTTCATATGATTTTCTAGCTTTATCTAATGCCTGGGCGGTTTGCACATAATCATTCGGAGCATCTTTGCATTCATTATGTAGTTGTTGAGCTTTATTTAATTCTCGGTCAAACGCAACAGTAAAATTCTTCAACTCTTGCAATGTAGACGATAGTAAAATATATTTGTTTTTAGTATCACGAACAGAATTAACCACTTGATCCCAATTGTTGTCAGCTGCGGATAGTGAATTCTGGATTGTTCCCATGTTAGGTTGATCCTCTCTCATTAAATGTAAGCCCTCTTCTCGTAGTTCTTTCCTTATAGACTGTTTTTCTTTAAGTTCCGTATCCAATTTATCTAATTGTTCTGATAAGTCTTGAATTGCAACTTCAGTCAGTAGGACAGGTTTTTGAACCATTTCATTCAAAGTCACCTGAACGTTGTGTAAGACTTCAGACACTGCTTTGTGTTGTAAGTTAAACTTATCCCATCTAGCACCAACCTTTTGAACCAAATCTCTTTTAGCTGTGACTTGATTTAATGAAGTCTCAGCCTTCATTTCAATTTCTTTAACTAAGCTTGTAGGTGAAATTATTCTACCAGTGTTTTGATCAGTTACTTTGACTTTGGATGGTCCATCAAGTAGAACAACATTACTCTTCCATTCAGGCACTTTTGTAATAATATTAACAAGCTCCTGGCGCAACACTTCATAACTTTCTGGTGTAAGTTTAGGTCCATCGATTTGATATTGAATGTGAGCTAATTGTTGTTTAGTATCTTCAAACCAGTTAAGTAAATCGGACCATTTCTTCAGTATTGCTTTATTTTGTTGGATATCTGATTCAAGGAACTGATAATGCTGAGCGATGTTTGTATAAGTGTCACTTAAAGTTCGTGATTCGTCTGGATGAGATGTAAGCGTCATATTTTTCACTTCATTGTAAATATCAGCGAACTCGGGTGCTTTAGCTGCATGTTCTTGAAGCAAAACATGCATAGATTGTAACGAGTGTTCCACTCTATCTGCACCTATTTGATCAAAGCTTTCAGCCTTCCTTTTAAAGTCATTAATCCAGTTGTCGAAGTTATGAAGTTTAGTCATGAATTCCTGTCGGACAATTATTTTATTCGACAGCTCATTTATTTTGGCCCTAACAGTTTCAGCGAGAGCGTTCGTTCTATCCTTAATGTCGGATACTTTATTTTTTAATAGAGTAGCACCTTCTGGCTGTACACTATGACATATATTATCACACGTTTGAGATAACGTAATTATCTTTGCCTGCTGCTGTGAAATTTCATTGCCAAATGATTTAAGTTTATTTAATTCTCTATCTAATTTCTCAACTTGCGGTGATTCGACGGTTACATTACGACTACTTAGAAGTTTTTCACCGCTTTCAATCCAACTTTCAAGCTTTTCTGCTTCTCGCTCAAAGTTTTCCCAATTAGTAATGAGCTTCTCTAATTTGTTGTTCCATTGATCAGCTTGATCATGAACAACTGCCCATCTAGAATGAATGGCATCTACTTCATCAGGAGCGCTAGTTTTTCCAGATAACTGATGACTGACACTGGACAGAATTTGCAAATTCATCAACTGTTTTTCACAATCAGTGATCAAAGCCCGCGAGTGTTGTTGTAACTGCTGAGCTTCTGGTAATGTTGTCGGTTTAGGAACATTGGCCAATTTAATTTCTGCATCTTCAATCCAGGGCTTAATTTCAGCAACACCTTTTTGATATTTCTGCCAACTAGCAAGATCATGTTCTACAACTTTGGTCTGATGTTCCGCAGATCTTTGAAGGTCCGCCATCATTTTTTCTAATAATGCAACTTCACCTTTTAACCTGTTAGCGTCATGTATGCGATGTTCAATAGCTAACTTGTTTCCTTGGTCTGCAACATTTTTAATAATGTCTAATTTTTCAGCAACTATTTTCTGCAAACCTTGCGATTTCTCAACCCTCTCTTCAGGTGTGATATTCTCAGACCGTATCTGAGAAATTAAAGCCGGACTTTCCTTTTTAATCCATTCGCGTACATGTTCCAATTTACGCTCGATTTTTACCCACTCTTCATTAAATCTCTCCAAATGCTCGACTTTGGTATGAACTTCATCTTGAACTTTATCCAATTTTTGTTCAATAGTTTGCAAGTCTTTTTCAATAACAGGTTTCGGCTTATTGGCTGTAAGTGACTGTAGTTCAGCATAAGCTTGCTGTAGCTGTGGTAATCGTTCTCGTTTAGCTCTTTCCAAATCTTCATTTATTACTTTAGTCTCGTGAAGCTCACGACTTACATTAGTTACTCCCAATTCTAAGCCTGGATGCGCAACGTAATTCTCAATTTTGTCAATATCTGACAATAATTCCTCCTTTTGGTATTCATAATTAGACCAAACCTTTTGCGTATCGCGTAGCTTATGAAGACGGTCTGTTGAAGTCTCATATGCTGTATTCCAACCAGTTTCCAGATTTCGGACGTCATCCCTTACAAAGGCGGGAGCATTAGCGTCTTTAATGAGTTCCTTACCTCGTTGTAACATTGACATAACAGAAGGCCGATGGCGGTCAAGTTTTTGAACAGCAGCTTGTTGCTCAAGAACCAACTGTTCAACCTGTTGTAAAGATTGAGGTTCTGGCTCAACCATGGCTTGTTCTTTTGCGCTTTCTAATATGCATATTACCTCATGTACTTCACGCCTATAGGTGTAACACCTGGTATATGTTTCTGTCTTTATCATTGTAATTTCAATAGTTGGGATTAGGTTTTTATACCTTTGAATAAGGTTTTCAAGTTTTATTTGTTCATCTTGTGCTTCCATTTCTGAACAATGATGTGTTAACATGTCTAATGTTTGGACTAACCATTTCATGTCCTCCCTTTTTCTATCGGCTTCACGGCAAATATTCTAGAGAAACAAATATAATAGCTTGATAACTAAGTAAATAATAACTACGAAACTAATTAAACATATGGTATTTCTAGAGGATAAAATAGTTACCATCAACTCTCTCAGCTGTGTCCATAGTAAGCATAAAAAGGTTGGATACAAATTAAAATATATATTCAAATAAAATAGATTAACTTAGGAAAAATAACCATATTGAGTATCCTTTTACGGAAAAATACAAGCAACCAGGCAACTTAGTCACAAATCGTGGGTTCGAATCCTAGGCAAAGTTATCCTTGTGTCCCAAATATGATACCAGCCTACTTTCAATGATTGTATGTGGCAGGGAAGCTTATTGAGACACTGCCTTTTAGGCCTAATGGTGACAGTGCTTTTTTTATAAATTGGATTGACAAATGAGCACACAGTCCACCTGGTGAAAAATGGATACTGTGGCATAGCTAATGCAAACACTTGTGACACTATAATATCTCAGATACTATAACAGCATCCAAAGGCATATTTAAATTGTCACTGTGGTCAAAATAAGTCAGAAGGATCATCAAAGAACTGAAGTTGCAGTTATACACATAAATTGACAAATAGATATCAATCACTGCCACCTGAGAACTTTTTCCCATCGGTTGTCAATTCTTCGAGCTCGGCCCATGCCACTTCAGCTTACTAATCCGTTAAAAACCATACATGTTAAATTATTTGGATATCAAGATAATATACAATTTTTTTTTCTATCACTTACCTGGAATATAGTCTTTTCCCTTTCAAAAGCTTCAGCCGAGTCAACTTCTCTTACTATGCTATCCATAGTTCTATCTACATGGTCCATCCATTTCTCCATCTCCCGGAACTTTTCCCGGTAGGCATCCCATTTGGCTGGGATTCTTTGCAACAGTTGTCTGAAGTGTTCAACTCTGTGAACCGTGGATTCCCATTGCTGTTCACATTTTCGGACTGCTTCATCAAGTGTCCTGTCACCAGTCTGCTGTGTGTAACTTGTAGATATTTTCTTTAAATTCTGAAGGCAGTGCTCCACTTGCATAATCTTTCCTTGGTTACGGAAATACTCCTCGTTTCTGATAAGAATGCCGTCGGCATCGTCACTTTGATTATAGGCCTATTAGATTAGATTATAAAGGATTTTAGTTGCTGCTTAAAATAAAAATAGGTATAAAAATGATTATTAAAAAAAGTTTTGAACAATTGTTATAATATAGAGCGATAGATTCTCTTTTTTTGGCCCATGGATATCATAAGAAGCGACTTAAGTAAAATAATAAGAAGACTCCTAAATAATAGGTTAATATAAGATCATATATATCACATCATACTTAGGTAAGTTTAAATTTATCTTACACTTCCACTTGTGATTTATAATTTAATTTAAAAAGTGCTATTGCGATGCATGTCATTTAAAACCTAGTTTAGCTTGTTTTATGTTAGGTGTTCCAAATACTAAGATACATTGTCAGTAATAAATAATTCTGGTTTGAAACACTATTAAACGAGAATTAATATTTAAGATATTATGAATGTAAAAATTATTACCTGTTCCTCATAAACAAGTTCCTTCTCAATATCTTTGATGCAGTGATGGAAGACAGCCTCATCAAGGCGGAACTCCAAACGCATAAGATGTGGAGGTGCACAGTCTAAAAGTTCCTTCCAGCGACGCTGTAAGTCTTCAACGGTCTTTACAATATGGGGTCGATCCTCAGCATTCACTAGCTGTTAACAATAATATTAGGTAAGTATTTAAAATTTTGAAGAAATTTTTAATTTTGTTAGTTTATTCTCTCAAGCCATCATTCTGTGGGTGTTGTAAAAGGTGACAGAGGGAAACTAAAACACTAGATCCATTGCGGGCCACATCGTTCTAATTACAAGTTGTAATAAAAACCGTAGTTAGCAACCCACCTGTCAAGCATGGAAACTATAACAAATATCTCCCCTCGGAGACGATTTTTAGGAGTGGTCTATGTTCAGTAGCAGTGGTGGTGGTGGTAGTTATAGTCGTGGTGGTGGTGGTATTGGTATTGGTGGTGATAGTGAAGATGACTTAAATTAAAATTATTAAAATGTACAGTACCAAAAATTTAAATTGTTAGATGCGCCTTCACGTTTAAAAACTGTCGCATTATTTTTGAATATGTGCATATGCAAGACTGACGCGCGGACACTAATGCGTGCGCAATACGCTCAATCACAATAGTGTCATCTCTTATTATCTTACGATTATAAGTTACGAGAGTTAAATTACTAATATAAGAAAGAACAATGAGAACAAACAGCATATATTTTAAGGCGGAAAAATTCAACAATGATTGATAATAATATCATCACAAAAAAATAATGATATGCTTTAAGGTATTTCCTTCTAAAGTAAGTTAAATGCAATTCATGTTTCTTACCTCAATAAGCTCTCTTCCAGACGTCACTAACTCGGAAACAGCCCTTCCGTCAGCTTCTTGGAAGAATCTTTTATGGAAATCAACAGCCTGTTTTGAATCTACTCTGTTATCTGACAAAAGAGCTTCTGCTCGTGATGCCCATTCTTCCACAGCACGTTTCTTTGTCTCAAACTCATCCCAGGCTCTTACAAGCCGTTGCAATTCTGATTCATGACGCATAGCTTCCGATGAGACATGTGCAAATCTGAGAACAAATTCCATGAAATACAAGTTAAAAAAATAACAAAACTCTCTACTCTACCAAGAGCTTTATAAGCATAAAAAAATACCTGAGGCAGTAAATAAAATGTCTATACAATACATGAAGGGAAAACTTTATGTATGAAGTGTGAGATCTGGCACACCTACTTAAAATTTATATGGAGAAAGATTGCAATAACTTAAAATTTATATATCTAATAATTGTTACAAATACATAAAATAAAACATTGATTATTTAGGTTTATACTAGGAACATCAATTGTCAAACACATAATACTTGTTATGTTAGTTAATAGTTTATGGTTAAACAGCTTAACTGCTAATATTTACATAATTTATAAGATCTCTATTTGAATGTGCAAGCGTTATAAAGAACCTTCATTAAAATAATTTAATACCTACTGGAACTGTTTTACCTTGTTTTTATAAAGTAATTCTATACCATATCATATTATATTATATTTTTATTTTTATGGAATAAGATGACAAATGATCACACATTCCGATTTATGGTAAGTTGCCATCTCTCAGGACTAAGATGGATTGCCTCGTTTCCATTAAAATGGGTCTCCAGTTCTCTTCTTACAAAACAGAGCAGAATTGAGCTGCTTTTTTACACTGGTATTCGGTAAGAGTGTGGTCCTTCCCCAGTCAAGCTGACCATTTATGCTACAACCATAATAGAAATGCAGCATGACTCTACCATGTTTAAATGAAGTTAAAGTTTAAATAATGTCCATCTAAGGGGCTTCACCATAATACCAGGATTGTGGTCAATCACTGGCTAACAATAAATTAAAAAAAAATAGTTATAAGTATTGCTAAAATTACGAATAATAATCTTGTTCAATGCATGCAAAATATTGTAGCGAAAATTTTTATAAATCAGTTTTCAATTACCGTAGTATAAAGAATTACGGTATTAGAACTTTTAGATTTATTACAATTAACCATGTATATTCGTATTTCTAGTTGTTCCATACATTTAATAATTCATATTCATGAGCACTCACGCCTATCACCCAGAGGGGTAGGCATAGACTACAGCCTTCCATTTGGCACAATCCTGACACACCTCTCTCACCTCTTCCACATTCATATACCTACGCATACATGCTCGTCGGTTGGTTAAGGGTACTCTTAATTTGGCCCCTATTCAGTAGGTCGCCAATTTGGTAGACAAATTTTCACCTAGACTCTGCCGTTCACTTCAGCAATTTGCTTTCTTACTCTTTCCTCATTCATTCTTTCCACATGACCAAACCATTCCTTACTTAATCCTCATCACAACATCATCTTGCATTCCACACTTTTCTCTTATTACACAATTTCTCTCTCTGCCACTCAGATTCAGCCCTAACATACTCCTTAACGACCGCATTTCTACTGCGTTTATTCTACTCTCATGCTTCTTCTGCCACACCCAACTTTCACTACCATATGTTAAAGTAGGCACTAACACAGCATTATGAATTGCCATACGTGCCTTTTTTGACAGATTCTGACTTTCCACAATAGAGTGTAGAGTCCCATTTACTCTATTTCCTGCGTTCACTCATCATTCTATATCTCCCATCCCTGCTAAATTTTTAATAAGAGGACATTTAATAAATAACTCAATTTTAAACTACTTGCAGCTGAGATATGTAAAAGAAATTATGGTAAACAAAATTATTTACTGATCGTAAAAATATCAAGAAACCTCTTGGATATTTTAATTAAAAAAAAAATATATTTTAATAGTCTTGGTAACCTACCTTAAACCGCAATAATAGTTAAAAAAATTATGATTTGAGAGCCTCGTTATATTTCACTCAACTAATAAGTTTATGTTGGCATTGTTACAATTTTTTTCTTGAAACTGTTTTGCCTCAGATAAATAAATATATAAATGAATTCTTGTTACTTTTTAATGTAACTTACGCTATTTAAAAATACTGTGCTACAATTTTTGTGTACGAAAAATGGTGTTGAATATAGAATTTTATAAGATTATTTTTTTAAATTAATGGTAAATTGTATAAAAAATATCAACCTTTTATGTGATAATAGCAGACGCTAAAATCATTAAAGCATTTGCATAATATGTGCATGTTTCTCTTGATTACCTACTTTATTTTCTAATTATTCATAAAATGTTTTCGAATTGAAAACGTACTTGTAAATAAAACGTTTTTTTAATAACTGGCTTTACGGCTCTGGGTTCTAGCCCTTCTGAGCATATCATTTCTTTCGGAATCTTCATTTTTATATTCTTTTTCTTCACAATATGCTGATGCGTCACATTGTGAAGCTCTTGGGAGATCTTAACGACAGCTCAACCCAGCGGACAGTTGATGACGACTGCCACTCAAGTTCATGAGGCGCCACAGCGATCAAAATAACTTGAGGTTTATATCGACTTTAAATCACTTGTTTCGTCGTTTTCTCTAATAGTTCAAACGCGCGGATACTTAATTCACAAAATCGCATCATTTTTACGAATCAAAATCCACATCAAACCATCAATTAAGCGACAAAACAGGAGCGACAATCCGGCTACGGACAGGTTCCCGCCAAAACTCAAAACGTTTATGTAAGTATATATAACAAAATAGGGATGTTCGATGATCATCGATGTTAAAAATTAAAACATTGATTTTTAACATCGAAACATCGATGTTAAAAATGTTAATGTATGTATGTTTTTCTATTTAACTAACAATATAGGGATGTTCGACGATCATTGATGTTAAAAATTAAAAAATTGATGTTTTATAATCCAAACATCGATGTCATTGAACCCACAATGAGAAACCACAAAATCGATATCAACTAAATCTTGCATCTCCCCTTAAAGGTTTAAAATTTTGAATTATTCAGAATCCCTAAAAGCATCGATCACCTAAAAATATCATTATGGTGTGTCAAACTTAATTGTCAAGTGTGAACTGTAATATCACAGTTGTCACTGTTTCGCTTTGTTATTCTTTGGTGTCGTTGTCGGTTATCACCTAAAACTATTCTACGTAAATTGATATTCAAAATAATTGTTTTTTCCCTTACTGTCTATGACCACATAATTTTGAAACAATATAAAAGTATATACACAAATCAATTATATTTAGCTGCTTTTTTGAGCTTGGCATAACGAGTTTACTATTCGCTTGAAGGTTATAAAAATAAATTACAGCGATTGTAGCATTCGACTGTGCATTTTGTAAGCGTCTGTGGAAACTTATTGCTTGGGCTGCCTGATTTAAAATTGTGAACAAAGGTGACGGAAAAGTCTATTATTTCATTTTTGTGAAGTTTGTTAATTTTTCCTCCCAAAATCAGAGAGAAGTTGATATAAAACCTACGTTTAAATCGTAAACTAAGTCCCATAACTAATTTTTGTATGCCAGATTTATGAGAGCATAGGAACATTTAAAGATCAAAATAATAACATTCATCATCATCGGCAAAAAATATAACAAATGAACTAGATATTTGCCAACTTCTTCCCACTTTTTTAGTTAATGTTTGACACTAAAATTTTTATTAATTCCAATTTTATTTCATCAATAATAAACCATAAGCAACATTAGTAATTTTTTATTCATCTAATTTTAACCTATCAAATAGGTACATGTGCAAAAAACATCGATAATGGCCAACGGTGTTAAGCTATCAATACCAACATCGATGTTTCTGCAACATCGAACATCCTTATAACAAAACTAATCACGTTCGATTCAACTTTTTTACGCTTTTTTTTTTTTACTTTTTTATTATTTAAAGGCAAAGGGATCTATACCTATACAGCCTAGTCTGACATGTCTTATTCAAAATTCTTTGCACTACTATCCTTGTTGATGGTTCAAATTGCAAAGTTTTTGTAAGATTTTATCCAATAGACATGTGATGACAATTATTACTCACATGTATCGACATTATTTACACACAATTGCATCACATATTTGAATCTATATACTATTGTATCGATATTACAGGATTTAAAATCTCGTTGCGGTCAAGTTCTCGTCACTTCTACTATTATACACTAACCTGTACCTCTACATCCACAAGGAGAAATAGTGGGTTTAATGTACTGTGTAAAGAACGTTAATAATATAAACATAATTTTTACAGAGTGCCTAATATAAAAATGTATATTCATAACAGGTACCAGTAGAACGTCGATTATCCGAACGTTGATCAACCCTCGGCCCTCGCGCACCGTGTTGGCCTACGTTCAGTACGGATAGCGCTGTATGTTTATGTATTAATTTTACCTTATTAGCTCACAATTTTATATATCTAAACGTAAGCGTGTTGTTCTTTCCATAAGAGATAAATTCGAGATTAACAAACGATTAGAGGAAGGCGAATCTGCAATGAAATTATCTAATGATTACAAAATAGGTAAATCAACGATTACGGATATAAAAAACTAAAAGACGACCATATCAAATTTTATATCCAAGGTTGATTCTACTAATGGGTCGACAAGTCGTAAAACTATGAAGCTCGCTACGAGCACCGATCTAGATGACGCTGTTTACAAGTGATTTACACAAAAAGCATCACAAGGAGAACCTATCTCTGATCTCATTCTATGTGAAAATGCAAAATATTTAATGAAAAACTTGGTGGGCCGTCGAACTTTTAAGCAAGCACGGGCTGGGATCCAAATACACGGAGAGAAACTGTTTGGTAATTCTTTAGCAACTGATTTCTTCAAAATCAAATCAAGCAATGTGTATTGAAACAAGAACAATATGTTCTCTAAAATGTTTACAACCCTCACGAAACTGGGTTCAATTGGAATGCTTCGCCACAAAAAACTCTTGCTTCGCGTCGTGAATTAGCAGCACCTGTTCCAAAGTAAACAAGGATCCTATCAAAGCTCTAGCTTGTGTTACAACTGTAATAAATGAAATTCATATTAATTAAAACTACTTTTACGGATTTTATCGCGTTTAATTTTAATTTTAATTATTTTTATTTTTAATTCCCGACGTTTCGGGTGCTTTCCAGCACCCATGGTCACGGGGGACTGAGGTGACTGACGTCCCTATGTCATTGTTAAACCTGGAGTACCTTCAGCTTTTTTAATTATTGGTTATGGTCCGATCTATGCAAAATGAATTGACTATGTCTTGAGGTCTTGCAGTGGTACGTTTGGGTTTAGTTTTAATTTTATTGGTTTTAGGGTCCCAAGCAGGTGGTAGTACCCAGCCTCCTTCTCTATTGAAAAGTACGAGGGTGGATTGAAAAGTACTCGGCCTAACCAAGAAAATAAACACATACTAAATCAGTTATATTTTTATTTTTCTACATAATCACCATCAAGTTCAATACACTTTTGCCACCTGCCCTTCCAAGCATTTAGACCGTTGAAAAAAAAATGATTATTCCTTAGAGTCAAAATATGCGTCTACAGCTGCTTTGACCTCGTCGTTTGTCGAAAATCTTTGACCTCCCAAGTGCTTTTTTAGGTTAGGGAACAGAAAGAAGTCTGATGGTGCCAGATCAGGTGAATACGGCGGATGCGGTAACAGTTCAAAGCCACAGTTGTGAATTTCAGCCATTGACTGTACTGACGTGTGATCACGGGCGTTATCTTGATGAAACAGGACTTTTCTTCTGAGCATTCCTCGACGTTTTTCTTTTATTTCCTCTCGTAAACGACGTAGTAAGGTGCAGTAGTAATCAGAGTTTATAGTCTGACCCCTTTCAAGATAATCAATCATAATCACACCTTTCGAGTCCCAGAATACTGGAGCCATCACCTTATTTGCCGACTAAATCGACTTAGCCTTTTTAGGGGGTGGTGAACCAGTTCTTCTCCACTGTTTTGATTGTTGTTTTGTTTCCGGTGTACAGTAATGAACCCATGTTTCGTCCATAGTAACAAAACGATTCAAAAAATCATCTGCATCGGCTTCAAATAACTCCAAACAGTCGCGTGAAATAGTCAATCGCGTCCTTTTTTGTTCAACTGAAAGCAGTCGCGGAACCCACCTCGCAGACACCTTGTGGAAACCCAACTCGTTGACAATGATGTTTTGAGTTCGTTCATAAGAGATGCCTATAATCTCGGCTATCTCTCTAATTTTTAATCTGCGGTCTCCCTTTATTAAATCAAGTACTTTTTTAATATTTTCGTCAGTAGTTGACGTCGAAGGCCTTCCAGAGCGGGGTTCATCTTTCACACTCTCTCTACCACGCTTAAATTCTGCTATCCATTTTTTGACGGATGAATATGACAGAGCACAATCGTCTAATGTACTGACCATGTCATCATGGATGGCTTTTGATGATAGCCCCTTCTTATGGAGGTACTTAATGACGGCACGCTGTTCGATTTGCTCCATTCGCGGAAATTATGTCCGATTACTTTGTTAATAAATTTATAAAATCACAACTAATTATCGCACACGTTTCGAACTTCACACAATGAACTAGTCTGAACTGAACTAAATAATGTGGGTAGATTTGATTTTTAGAATTGAATGGATCTGTGTTAGGCCGAGTACTTTTCAATCCACCCAGGTAGTTTTAATCAATGTGTAGTGTTCGCGTAAATATAAGAAATAATTACGAAATTCATATTTCATATAAATATATCGATACATAAAAATATACAGTTTGATTATCCGACTAAACCGGTTTTCCGACACCCATGTCCCCAAATTAGTTCGGATAATCGATGCTCTACCGTATAACAAATCTACGTTTATCTTTTCTTTTATAGCGATACCGATACATTACAACAGAATGCTTATCGCCGCTCTATACGTTATGATTGTATGTGTTATGTGTTTTTTTTAAGTGATAGTGTGATTACTGATTATTAAATACATCATCTATATTTAGTAGGATGTGTTGAATATAATAATTAAATCGGTTTACTATAATATAAATGATATATTATAATTGGTATGACAATAGAATAATATCATCGAACCTTTAAACTGACCTTTACATTTACTCCACCATTTTTAATATTAAAGAGATTCACAAACATCAAATTATTTATTATTTTTAAAGGCAAGAGACTTATGGCCATACAGGCTAATCAATTAATATGCTATATTGGCTGATATCTCTATATCCAGTGATATTTGTGCTTTTTATTATGTAGTTAGTTATTTGCTTGTAAAGTAATTACATACTATTATTTTGATTTACGTTATTAATTTGAGGCTTTTTTCCCAAGGTTAAGCTTTGTCCGTCATAGGGAGAATTTCCTTACAATATTATGACCAAATTATAGCGTCTTTTTGGTTTTGCAGCTTTGTCTGCCTCAGAGAGAATTTCCTTACAATATTATGGCCATCGTAATTTTTGTCTTATAGAACAGGAGGCAAACGAGATTGCGACTTACCCGATAGTAAGTAATGGTAGTAGATTATATGTAGATTATAAGTAAAATGCATGTAATAAGCATTCGAAATTACTCACCTATCGTTTAGATCTTTCATTAAACGAACTTGGTCTGTAACATCGGCACTGCGGTCTGCATCGGCTGCTTTGACAATGTTCTGGAAGACTTTATTCTTGCTCTCCAACATTGAACGGTAGTAGGTAGTGCGCGAAAAGAATGTACGGTGAATTTCATAGCGTTCTTCAATTACCTCGCTGGTAAAAAAAAATTAAATGCATAATATAAGTATTACATCAATTTAATATACTTTTATTTGGTGAGGTATTTCATCTTGATTCTCTGGAGATATGACACGTTTGGGACCTTCTTTATTTGAAAATGTTGGTCGTAAGAGATGATGGACTACAATATCCATTTATAAGCCGGTGGATTGCTTAGAATATTTGGGTTTGCTTTAGGATTCTGCGCCACAAGGAGGGAGGATATAGAAGGGGTTTAGCTTATGGCTTATTTTTATGCATGTTTGAAAATTTAATATTAAGAATAAATATAATTTTATTGAAATATAATGTATGCGAATTACTTACATCGAACAAAATTCATTCATCTATTCATTCATTATATTCTATCAAAAGCCTATAGGTTGGCAATTCGACGGATTCTTGAATCGATCCGGTGTTTTAGATCCAGCTAAAAAATCGATTTCTTAATGCTAAATAATCGATTTTTAAATTAACCAATCCCGGATCGATATACTTTATATCTTAAAAAAGATTCATGAGAACTACATAAACTGTGCAAAAAGACGTTAGTGCACGCGTCAGAGTATTATTATGAATCTTGCATAACAAGATGAAAAATACCCAGACTAGCGATGTTGATTAGCGTCAAAGAACGAGACGTCTAGCACTGCGATTATGAATCCCAGTCATGTCGATGGAGATAATTCCTTTTTACAATCAAAGAGGCCAATGTGCAACAGTCAGCAGTAGACAGCATTAGTTTTACAGACCAATAAACGACGGTTCCGTGGCTTCGCAATGAGTTGCAGCGCGGGGGGCCGCGGTCCGCACTGAACCACTATTTGTACGTCCTTGTGCGATTTATGCTTGTAAACGTTTAAAAAAATCTGTTGACCCTGCAGGCCATCCCAGGAACTTCCCGCTATGTTCGATTTCAAAACACTTGATAATAGTTAACTCGATTATTAAAAAATTTCGAAGTTATAAAAACCTTTTTTTAACTTTTTGACAACGATAACTTTCGAACGGATCAACCGATTTTGATGTTATTGACGGCAATCGACGAGATATTTTAAGAAAAATTATAAAATTTATTATAAAAAACGATTAGACTATAAATTCCAAAGTAATATGTGATAAAAACACAATTTATTCGAAATTTTTCGTCATCTATTTCTCCTCAACGCATTAACCGATTTAGAAGCGGTTTACAACAATGGACGTCGTTTTCCAAAGTTATTCAAAAAAAGTGTTTTTGAAAATTTTATTTTTGAGATTTCTCAAAATCTGCCGATCCAAATGGGTTGAAACAGTATTGAAAATCTAAGTTTGGTGAAACCCTTTCGAATGTTACCAAGTTCGTTCAAATCGGTCACATACGTACCGACATAGTGACGTCCTCGTAGGAATAGTCAGAATAACCTAATCCTAATCCTAGGACCTCGAAACGTAGAGATCTCATGAAAACTCGATTTTCGAAAACTACGGTGAAACCAATAGCTTCCCGATTTTTTTTTTCAAATCATTAATTTTCATAGCGGGAAGTTAAAAAAGTAAGATTTTGAATTGTGTAAATAACTTTAACTCACCGCCTTGTTTCAGTAGTGGTTCTCAATAATTCGTCGGCCTTATCCAGCCACTGCCCGATTTCCTTCTGTCCGCTTTCTAGCGACTCGTGCTGTACCAGTAGTTGTCTGTACTGATGTAGCTTGACAGGAACAGTGGCTCGAACTCTGACCAACATCTCTTTCTGTTGTTTGAGCTTAGTCATATTGGACTCAACCTCATCGCGGGGTAGATCCGCGATCGCGTTTTGGAAGGTTCTGTAAGCAGACACTTGTATATTAGCATAAAAACTGTAAATGTAAATAGTGGCGGTTAAGAATATCCACTACCCCATATCTTCCCGTGGGTGTCGTAAAAGGCGACAGAGGGAGACAGGCAGGAGATGGGCAGCAGCATCTTCCTGATAATAGCAACTGTACGACAAAAAAAAACTGCGGTTGCCAACCCGCTCGCCAAGCGTGGCAACTATGGCAATATACCCCCCATGAACAATTACACAAATAGACGGCCCCCAGTCCCCGGCGGCCCCGCTATTCCTGGCTACGGTGGCGACCATGGTAACGGCGGGGCAGGGGGTGCTAAGAATCTCTGGTGGAGGTTCGGTTGCCACCTACGACGACTCGACCTGGCAACATTTAACGCACGCACACTGAGGACTGACGAGAAGATCCTGGAGCTGGAAGAAGAGATAGACAAGTTGCGCTGGAGTATTATAGGATTATCCGAGGTCCGAAGAGAGGGGGAGGACACGGTGATTCTCGAATCCGGCAACTTGTTCTATCACCGGGAGGGCGACCATCTGTCCCAAGGAGGTGTCGGATTTATCGTCCACAAGTCTCTCGTCAACAACGTTGTAAAGATTGGGAGTGTGTCGACGAGGGTCGCGTACCTGATACTCAGAATCACCAAACGGTATTCGCTGAAGGTCATACAGGTTTACGCACCAACCTCGGCACATTCCGATGAGGAGGTGGAGGAAATGTATGAGGATATTTCCAAAGCCATGCATTCCTCCAAAACCCACTACACGGTGTTGATGGGAGACTTCAACGCAAAACTAGGCACAAAAGAAAACGGTGAGCTGAAGTTAGGGAAATTTGGAGTAGGTCAACGGAACCGAAGGGGCCAGCAGCTGGCCGACTTTATGGAGAAAGAGGGACTCTTTATGATGAACTCTTTCTTCCAGAAGCGGCCCCACAGGAAGTGGACCTGGTCGAGCCCCGACGGTTCGACAAAAAATGAGATTGACTTCATTGACCAGACGCCAACTGTTCAGTGATGTCTCAGTGATCGCAAGGGTGAAAACTGGCAGCGATCACCGAATGGTTAGAGGCACACTGAACCTAAACGTTAAGTTGGAGAGGTCTCGTCTAATGAAGTCAACGCTCCGTCCCCCTCGTGCTCTAATTCAAAATCCCGAAAACTTTCAGCTCGAGTTACACAACCGCTTTCAGTGCCTACAAGATTGCAATGCAGTGGACGATGTGAATGACAAGCTCGTGGAAACTGTCCATGCGGTCGGAGCTAAGTTCTGCAAGACCCGCCGCAGAAGAACACAAAAACTGTCCGATCACACTCTTAATCTCATGGCTGTTAGACGGGAGATGAGGCTGCAATCGTCAACAGATTTGACAGCATACAGGCAACTGAACAGACAGATCTCCAAATGCATGCGGCGAGACTTACGCAGCTTTAATACTGCTCGTATTAAAGAAGCGATCGAGCGGAACCAGGGCTCCAAAGTCTTTGCCAGAGATCTGTCTGCCAGAAAGAGCTAACTGTCAAAGCTGAAGACTGAGTGTGGCAGCATCGTTTCCGGGACACCTGAGATTTTGAGTGAGATTGAGAGGTTCTATGGGCAGCTGTACACATCATCGTTGGAGCCACACGCAAGTGTGAGTAACGATCCAAGAGCAAGTCTTATCCGACACTATTCCGATGATATCCCGGACGTCAGTCTAAGCGAGATTAGAATGGCTCTCCAGCACCTTAAAAACGGCAGGGCCCCAGGCGAGGATGGAATTACAGCGGAGCTTCTGAAAGCGGGTGGAACACCGGTACTTGAAGTCCTTCAGAAGCTCTTCAATTCCGTCCTCCATGGTGGCACTACTCCAGAGGCGTGGAGCAGAAGTGCGGTGGTCTTGTTCTTTAAGAAAGGCGACAACGCTCTCTTGAAAAACTACAGACCGATTTCCCTTCTGAGCCGCGTCTACGTGCTGTTTTCGAGAGTCATTACGAATCGTCTTGCACGCAGACTCGACGACTTCCAGCCTCCCGAACAAGCCGGTTTCCGAAAAGGCTTCAGTACCATAGACCACATACATACCCTGCGGCAGATTGTACAGAAGACTGAAGAGTACAATTTGCCACTTTGCCTGGCGTATGTGGACTATGAGAAAGCCTTTGATTCCGTCGAAATTTGGGCGGTGCTGCAGTCCCTTCAGCGGTGCCAAGTTGACTGTCGGTATATCGAAGTGCTGAAGTGTTTGTACAGTAGGGCTACGATGGCTATCCGAGTACAGAACCAGAGCTCGAAACCTATCCAACTGCAGAGAGGTGTAAGACAGGGTGACGTTATATCCCCGAAACTCTTCACCGCTGCTTTGGAAGATTCGTTTTCAAGCTATTGGACTGGAAAGGATACGGTATTAACATCAATGGCGAGTACATCACTCACCTTCGATTTGCCGACGATATAGTCCTTATGGCAGAATCGCTGGAGGACTTAAGCACTATGCTCAATGACCTTAATAGTGCCTCCCAACGGATAGGTCTTAAGATGAACATGGACAAAACAAAGATCATGTTTAATGTCCATGTCACACCTATGCCGGTAGTTGTTGGGAGCACTATGCTCGAAGTTGTTGACGAGTACGTTTACCTGGGACAAATAGTCCGACTAGGTAAGTCCAACTTCGACCGAGAGGTCAATCGACGGATTCAACTCGGCTGGGCAGCGTTCGGGAAATTACGACACATCTTCTCGTCAGGTATACCTCAATCTCTGAAAACTAAAGTGTACAACCAGTGCGTGTTGCCAGTGATGACTTACGGATCAGAGACGTGGTCCTTCACTGCTGGCCGTATGAGGACGCTCAAGGTCGCTCAGCGAGCTATGGAGAGGGCTATGCTTGGAGTTTCTCTGCGTGATAGACACAGAAATGAGGATATCCGCAGTAAAACCAGAGTGACCGACATAGCCCAACGGATTAGTAAGCTGAAGTGGCAATGGGCCGGCCATATAGCTCGAAGAACCGATAACCGATGGGGAAGAAAGGTTCTCGAGTGGCAGCCTCGTACCGGTAGGCGTAGTGTAGGGCGACCCCCCACTAGATGGAGTGACGACCTGGTAAGATATGCAGGTCGTCGATGTCTCGAAGTCGATGGATGCAGGTGGCTCAGGACCGTGCTTTGTGGCATTACTTGGGGGAGGCCTATGTTCAGCAGTGGACTTGTGAAGGGCTGTGATGATGATGATGATGATGATATGATATCATAAAAACTAGGCTACGGTGCGTTTCGAGTGCGGCGCGACGACACGACAGCGCTGCCACAAGTAGTATAAAATTTTCTTTAAATACCGAATTTCGGTATGTAAAGTAAATTTAGGAGTGTAAAAAAACATGTGTGCAGTTCACCGCGGTAGAAGTGAAACCTTCAGAAAATTGCGAGTAAAATTACTGTATAACAGCGCCATCTACTTTTATCTATTCTATAGTAGATTTTATCGAAAAACAATTATTGACTGAAGGTGGTACTAGATAGCCTTAACATGACAAAATGAATAAGTTGTGAAATCGTGGATTGTTATGAATGGAAAGGTTAAGAAAATTTTATTCAACAAGGTTAATTTTATTTATTTAATAAATTTGTTAATTTTAACAGTTTATTTTGTTATAAAGAATAGATGCAGTTAATAGGAAACGCCATAGAGTACTATAATACATACATAATAGAACGGGGGAGTGGGCTGAGCCCACGTAGCCACTAAAATGTCACTAACACGTCAATTCACACGTATAACTGTCAATACGAGATGTGTTTTGACGTTACAATCGTTTCCAAATTTCGCATGCAAATTATTTAGAAAATGTCAAATTGCACCCTATTTATTTTGCAAATAAATATGTAATAAAGTTTAAACGATTTTTTTAATGATGATCTTGAACATTAATCAAAAGTCTAAAATGTTTAAATTTATTCAGTCTGTCAACACAGCGAATCGGGTTTGGCGACGCCAAGCCTCGTACAAAATAAAGCTGACAGTATACATAGTATGGCTATTGTGTTTATCTATGGAAACACTATATTGTTTATATCATATAATATCATACCGTTTTTTATTTATTTTTTAAGAGGGCAACGAAAATAAGCTCTCTTGTAGTCCCCGGAAAAATCGCCCGTGTAAACTATTCCACAGAGAGGTTGTTCGCGGAAGAAAACTCCTTTTGAAACGTACAGTGGTGGACCGCCAAGCATCCAGATGGTGTGGATGGTATCGGGACGTTTGCCGCGTAGTGCGTTCACGAAATTTGGCGGCTGGGATTAATCCGAACAATTCCTCAGAGCACTCCCCGTTAGTGCGTAACGCAAAAAAGTCAACGATTCGAGCCGCTCTGCGCTGGATGCGGTCAAGTGAAAGGAGCTGGTACTGGGGAGCCCCAGCCCAGAAATGGGAACAGTATTCCATGAGCGGCCGAACCTGCACCTTGTAAAGTTGCAGGCGGTATGCCGGCATGAAATACTGTACCGCTCTGCTGAGCACGCCAAGCTTTTTAGAGGCCAATTTGGCCTTCCCTTCCAAGTGACCACGAAACTGCACGTCACTCGATATGTCGACGACGAGGATTCCGATACTGGCTGAGGCAACAAGGGGAGTGCCTTGAAACTGAGGGGATACGACAAAGGGGTTCTTTTTAGCGGTTAACGCGCAAACTTGTGTCTTCTGGGGGTTAAACAGGACTAGATTTAGTCGCCAACAATCCGAGACTCTACTTCAGACACAAGTTTGTCCCGGCACTCGGAGACGTTTTCCCGAGAAATATTGGCTCGGCCAGTGTAAAGAGCATCACCAGTGCTGTCATCTGCATAGCAATAAATGCTACGGGTTTGCAACATATCATTGATATGCAGAAGAAACAGCGTTTGCGATAGCTCGCAGCCCTGTGGAACACCAGCATTAATAAGGCTTGCAATCGGAGCTTGCACCGTCTACAACGACCTTGATGCTCCGATCTGCAAGAAAACTGGTGATCCAATCGCACAATTTCTCGGGAAGCCCATAGGAAGGGAGCTTCGAAAAAAGCGCTTTGTGCCAAACCCGATCGAAGGCCATCGCAATGTCCAAACTAACGGCCAATGCCTCCCCCTTGGACTTCGCCCATCTGTGAGTTAGGTAGACCAGAAGATCACCAGCTGACCGACCACGGCGAAAACCGTATTGGCGGTCACTAATCAGCTGGTGATCCTCAAGGTACCTCATGAGCTGGCAGTTTACAATGGACTCCATTGTTTTGGAGGACAAGGAGGTGATGGCGATAGGGCCGGTAGTTGGACGATTGGGTCTGAGCGGTCGCCTTTTTTAGGGATCGAGTGGACGAAAGCCGTCTTCCATGATTTTGAGACTACGCCTAGGGAGTAGGAGTACCGGAAAAGACGCGTTAAAACCGGTGCCAACTTTGGAGCACACGTCCTCAGCACAATTGGGGGGATTCCGTCAGGCCCACTCGACTTATAGATGTCCAGGGAGAAGAGTGCTTTGCGAACCGAGCGCTGAGTGAACTGCACTTCCGGCAAGGAGCACTCACACCGCGGGATGGTCGGCGGCGTACTCCCCCCGTCATCGAGAGTCGAGTTAGACGCAAAGAAAGAGCCTAGAAGATCGGCTTTCTCCTTTGCGGTGCGGGCCAGTGTAGTCGTCCTCCCTGTGCAGAGATGGAAGAGATGGCTGACAGAAATTCCCCTGGACAGCCTTGGCGAGAGACCAGAATGCACGGGTTCCAGAAAGAAGACGAACTAGTCTCTCGCCAATTCTGCCTATGTGCTCTGACTTTGCCTTGGCAATGACTCTTTTGAAGGACCTAGAGGCGGAATTATACTTCTTTTTTATAGCGCTGGTGTTTACATCCCTGGACGCTGATGCGTCAGGCTCGGTAGCACTCCTGCTTATAATTGCTATTTACAGGAGCGACCAAACCATGGCTGAGATTTGCCTCCAATGGGCACCACAGAGGAAGGAACAAAAAGTTCCATACCCTGAAGTACCACATCAGCGACAGAATCCGCAACAACGTTGGGATCATCCGGCGAGAAGCAAACCCGCCCCCAAGGGTAGGATGCAAAGAAAGACCGCATACCATCCCAATCGGCTGACCCATAGTGCCAAACACGGCGGCAGCCTGCAGAATGCAACCGCGATTTCAGCGTGAGTGGCACCACACTCCGGACAAGACAATGGTCCGAGGAGCCTAAAGGGGCGTCGACGGAAATCTGATATCCGTCCGGGTGAGAGGTCAGCAGAAGGTCCAACAGGGAAGGTGCATGATCCTCCACATCTGGAATCCGCGTGGGCGAAGTAACCAGTTGTGTCAGACCATATGCCAAGGCAAAATCATGAACAGATCTCCCCGCATGATCAGTTAAAGGGCGTTAAAGTCGCCGAGGATCACGATCTCTGCGGAGGGGATCTGCTATAACAACGAATCTGTAGCCATTTGGATGTGGTCGAAGAGTCGGTCTGTTTCGGCATTACCGCTATAGGACCTATAGAGGCACCTACGCGTAGCCAAAGGATGGACAGGTCCGAACCTTCAAGTCTGCCGAGGCGTCGAGAACAGATGTCCTCTGCGACGTAAACGCAAACTCCAGCCCGAGGCAAAAGGAGTGTTCCAGTTTGTACCCCGGGTAGGAGAGATACGAGACATCAACCGGAGAGGACACCTGCGTCTCGGTCAGAAAGGGCAGAGTCGGCTTCGCCGTCTTGAGATAGTAGTGGACGGCGTTTAGGTTAGAGTGAAGTCCCCTGATATTGCAGAAATTCACGGACAGCGTGGCAGGGGTCGCCTTGGTCTTGTTGCTCCGTTTGCCCCGAGCTGTTGTAGCCTTGAGCGGAATTTTGCCCCCCCCCCCCCCTGGATACGCGGGGCAGTCTGAGCACCCACGCTCAGAAGTGGAGAAACATGGTCGTGGATGCTCAGCGAAGGATTCTCCAGGGGTGCTGGTACCCTCCTGGGGTAGTCTATCATTATTTAATTCCGCTACCATGTTGATAGGGGGGGGGGGGGATTTGGGCCTCCGGCCACCTGCACTCACCAGACGAAACGCGGAAGTAGAGCTTCCACTTCACGCCGGTATTCTGTGAGGTCGTGGTACCACCACGGTTTGAGCCGGCCCATACGTGCAACAGCAAAGCTGTCGCGTGGCTCTACCACTGTTAAACTAATGAAATAAAAAAAAAGTCACAAATGTAGCAAACTCTACAAACACCGCCCTTTCTATGACGTCATTATTATTTAAGTAAAAGTTTAAACGCTATTTAATATGTACTATTGCTTAGAATAAAAAATATTAAAATTGATTTGATTTTTGGTTAAAGACACATAAAAGTTAAAACAATATTTATCATAGCTAAAAGTAACAATAACTTGCAGTAATGGAAAGAAATTATTTAATATTTAATTACGTACCATTTTATTAAATGCCGATAACTCTATAGGCGACGCCCATGTATTTTTAAGTGCTAGGAGCTGATGAGGTTTTAATGGGTGATGTTTACATTGAAAATGGAAGTATTTATTTACCTGCTAATAGTTTTAAACAGTTCTTCATGATGTTCAATTTCTGAATTGAGTTGCAGCAGCTGCTCGATATAGTTTTGTATGTCCGTGGTGTTTGCCCGCGGTTGCCTTGACAGCAGGTTCTCCGCGGCTGATAGCCAGTTGTCCAGCGTCTGGATTCCAGATGCCAACTCGCGGCGGTGACGGAGAGCGTCTCCTCCACGTACATACCTTAAAACATATAAATATTGTAGTCATAAGTATAGGATTAAAGTAATCAATAATGAATAAATAATAATTTATTTTTTCGGTATTCAGTCACTTAAATGTACCGACTGACAAGTTGAATAAAATAAAAGTTGCATTGCCATATTCTCAAATATTAGAATTTTATTAAGTTACTTGGATTTGCTAGTTTCGATTTTAGAGGGTGTAAGAAGGAAATAAATAATTCGCTTTGATAATGGACAAGACTGGCGATCGACTGATGGCAGAAAATCTGTCTCAAGTTGTCAGCAAAATCTTTTACTGACGGCGATGGAAATGCATGGTGATGGCAACACTTTTGAATATGATCCGAATGATAATTTTTCATAAAACTGATAACTTACCGCTCAGCCTCTTCCCAAACACGTTCCCAACGTTCTGTGATCTCCACGTACTTTCTCTTAATCTCGGAACTTATTTCATCAGAACATGTAGCGGCAAGGAATCCAGCTGCGTCACCCAAAAGCTGATGTTTCTCTTTCCAAACGGTAAGGTCGTGGAAGAACTCTAAGCCCTCGTCTTCAGATACTCTTAACATATGTTGTGCTTTGTCCAGCCAAGTAGTAAACTGATCAACTAAAGTCGTCCATCTCTCCCAATGAGCAATGACTTCCTCAAGGACACTTCGCGCGCACCTAACATCAGAGGCCACCCTTCGCCAAGTCTCCGAAACTTCTCTTAGGAACGAATCGATTTCTCTCGCTTCAGTTCTATCTACTTCACATACTCTCTTATATTCTTCTGCTACTTGCTTAATATCAACATACGCTTTATCAAATTCTTGGAAAATCTTGTTTTTAGTTACGAAATTATCGTAGTCATCTAATAAGGCACGAACGTGTTCTACTCTACCGCATTTCGCGGTCCAAGTGGCTAACTTCGCTTTAGTCAGTTCTGTGAAAGCCACGATACAACATTTGTGTTCTAAATATTTTAATCTCGCTTTTCTCTGCGGAGCTCTTCGATTAACAGTTTCTAAACGCTCTTTCATTTCTTGCAACCTTTCAGCAGGAATTCTAGAGGCATCAGGTGATCGTAATGCCGCTTCGAACCTGTCGGCGACATTAGGAAGGTCGGCGAAGAAAGATGTGTGCTCTTCTAATTTCTCACTAATTAAAGCGGCAGTCCGCTCATCTAAATCGTTAGGGATTTCGTCAAAGTATAAAAGGTATTCGGCTCTCGCTAACCATTCGCCGACCATTCTGAAATCGCCGGGCAATTCTGAGTCCAAAAGCCACAGCCATCTTCTGTGAAGTCTCTCCAGTTCGATCCAGAGAGACACGAGCTCTCGCCACGACTTCGGTGCTATGGCTACCAAGCTCTGCGTATACATGAGCTTCTCGAGTTTCTGATATATTGGCTCTCTAGCAAGCCGCTCGTTTTCGGCACGGACATAGTCCTCGTAGTTCCGTGATAGGGTCCGCGTGTCGTATTGTCTTTGGACTATAGAGACACGTTCCGTCAGCCACATCCTGAGCGATTCGTATTCCTCCTGGACAGCCGCGACGGCATCCGGTCCTGTCGTCTGTTACAAAATAATTTAATTAGACATAATATCAATAAAATTTACGTATATTAGTTGCTCAAGGGGGGATTTTTGATATAGTTGCCAATCTGATATGATATAGTTGACAAAGTTGCTTGGCAGGTACTTATTGCCACGTACTTGTGGCATTCTTTGGACTTGGCCTTTGTTGAGCAATGGACTTGTTATGTTTATGAAATGAGTTTTGTTTTATTTAAGGAGATTTTTTCAAAAAAATATCTAATAAGCAAATTAAGGTGTATAATAAACATTAAATAAATAAAAATAAATAAATAATTAGTATGAATTAATTACGAAGTTGACCGTGGCGGTGTACGAATATCCACAACACCATGACGTTACAAAAACAATCAGGGCAATGAAAGCCTTTAGAGGAATTTTGAGAGTTAGGTAAGTGTAGCGGTAATTTCGAACTACCAAAATAGACTTTTCCCTTTTCTTCTTACCTTAGGTTCCGGATATTTGTGTAGGAACTGAGCAACATAAGTCATAATCGATCTTTCGTCAGGTTTGTCCACATCCACATCCTCGGCGTCCAAGAGCCGAGCGATGCCAAGTTCACTCTCCGCAACGTCGAAGGCATGTTCTAAACGCTGTCTGTTGGTTTTCCTCTTCATCTCGGCCAAGTTGATCAGGTTAGCCTTGATCGCGTCAATTATAGCGAGGAACGCAACACCGTCTCGCCATGACGGGCCAAAGTCTGTCACTTGGATGGTGGAGTCCCTGTCGGAGAAATTCAATTTGAAAATGATTTGTTTCGTGAATCTGCGAAATAAAAAAAATCTATATACGTCCCACTGCTGGGCACAGGCCTCCTCTCATTTCAGAGAGGGTTTTAGGGTAAGGAAGACCCCGCGGCGCTGCCTCAATGTGTGTTCGAAACAAATTTTTTTCTTATTTCTCAAACATGCAGATCAGACAGCAGAGATCACGATGTTTTCCTTCACCCCCGAACACGTGGTAAATCAGCACTTAAAATTGCAATTAACAATTTCAATTGATAGAATCAGGCGTTACTTTGCGGAAATCCATTTTAATAAAGATATTAATTAATTCGCAACCTTCCGCTAATTAAATACAATGATGTGTCTTACCTGGATTGAAGAGCACCTCCCGCCCTCCCTCAATTGCGTGCACCAATCCCGTCACCACTAATCCCAGCACCACTACTCCCAACACCACTACTCCCGGCACCACTACTCCCAACACCAATATTCCAGGAAAGACACACCATCGACGATAATACGACACGTGTTTCGCCTCTACACGAGGCATCCTCAGGTGATGTAGACTCTACGGCGGCTGACCGCTAACCATATAATATAATAATTCAATCCAGGTAAGACACATCATTGTATTTAATTAGCGGAAGGTTGCGAATTAATTAATATCTTTATTAACAATTTCAATGGTGCCGGCGGGAATCGAACCCGGGTTACTCGCGTACTGTGATATTTACAGCAAGCGTTAACCATCTGAGCTACCACGGCTCTCGTGCACACTAAGTGGTAGGTACTTTTCTATCCAGACTAGTGCGTGCACCGATGTGTTCTTGTGCAAAGTGTAAAGAGAGCCAGCAACATTGGCAGGGTGCGAGGCAGTCCGTCTTAGTCCTCAAAGGTGATAACGCATCCGTAGCCTTCTCTGTTTGAAGTTGCAGGAGTCCATGGGCTGCAGTAGCTACCTATCATCAATATTTCATACGTGGTAGAGCCATGCTGCAGCTATATTATGGTTGTAGCACGAATGGGTCGGCTCGACCGGGGAAGCACCACGCTATCACAGAATACCCGCGTAAAACAGCACCTTAATACTGCTGTGTTTCGTATGGTGAGTGTGGAGACCCGGAGATCCTTTTTTTTTCTTGGTAACGAGGCATTCCATATTAGTATTTGCCGGACATTGCAAAATAACCATGTATATATATCGTACAAATGTACCGTACGTATATGTTTCGTACATATAAGGCAACCTTATATGTACGATACATATACGTACGGTCCGCAGCTCCCGTTTCATCTTTAAGAAGATTTGATAAGATTAAATAAAGGACATAGAATAAAAATAGATGTTAATATCATATTGTTTTCAATAAAATATTGTTATGGTATCGGTAGCGACATTTATTATTTAAAAAGCAATATCAATATACGCATTGTTAGGTACTAAGCTGCACTAAAAGTATCGGGAATGGAATATTACCACTGTTCCTGTCATATTAAAATCTTTTTAAAAACTCCCTGGTTTTAAAAATCGAATACCATTTATTTATTTAAAAAAAAGATTCTCGGTCTTGTCATAAGGTTTTATCAAACTTGTTTAGTCGTTGAGAAAATGGAATTGACCCGGGAAAATTCAAGAGCGATGATTTATTATGACTTTCGAAGTGGTTTAACACAAAAACAGTGTATTGACCGGATGATTTCTGCATTTGGTGATGAAGCCCCATCCAAAACCACAATTTATCGCTGGTTTACTGAATTTCAACGTGGACGTGTCAAGCTCAGTGATGATCCCCGTTAAGGTCGCCCAAAAGCTGCAGTAACAAAAGAAAACGTTGATGCTGTGCGTAAGCTGATTGATGAAGATCGATATGTGACATACCGCGAAATTCAGGCAACTTTAGACATTGGCATGAGTCAAATACAAATAATCTTGCATGAACAATTAGGTGTAAAAAAAGTTGTTTTCCCGATGGATACCGCATTCGCTCTATGAAGAGCAAAAAGCGGCTCGCGTTACTTGGTGCATCAGAACTCTCGAAAGATTTCACGCAGGATCCTCAAATGCTGTATACAACAACGTATCAGGTGACTAATCCTAGATATATGCGTACGAATCTGAAACAAAAAACCAGTCACGAGTTTGGGTGTTGGAAAATGAGTTAAAGCCAACAAAAATTGTTCGTTCACGGAGTGTTGCAAAAATATGGTGGCCATGTTTGTCCAAAACCGGCCATGTTACGACTATTCCTCTTGAGGGACAAAGAACAGTTAATGCAGAATGGTATGCTAGCATTTGTTTGCCACAGGTCGTTTCTGAACTCCGTAAAGAGAACTGCAACCGCCGCATCATCCTCCATCACGACAATGCGAGTTCTCACACCGCACACACAACAAAAGAGTTTTTAGAGCAAGAAAACATAGAATTATTAGACCATCCGCCGTACAGCCCCGACCTAAGCCCTAATGATATCTATACTTTCCCTAAAATAAAGAATAAATTGCGTGGACAGAGATTTTCATCACATGAAGAAGCTGTAGACGCCTACAAAACGGCCATTTTGGAGACCCCAACTTCCGAATGGAATGGTTGCTTCAATGATTGGTTCCGTCGTATGGAAAAATGTGTCAAATTTCGCGGAGAATACTTCGAAAAGCAATAAATACATTTTTAAATAGTGATGTTGTGTCACTTCCTTGATTCCCGAAATTTTCAGTGCCGCCGTACATAATTTGTCTAATATCTCGCGTCAAATCAACGCGATTTTAAAACACTTTGACCTCAACTAGCAGAGGTTATTGCCTTATCCTGTGTTAAAGATTTCAAATTAGGGGACAAGATCAATTTTTGGATATAAAATAGATGATGTTCGTGAATCGTGTGAAGAAAAAACTAGAGGACTACCACTCAATTTGTTTAACCTAAGATGATGAACTCACTTAGGTAATGCGTTTGCTACCCATTGCAGTAGCGTCTTCTTGGCGCCTTGCTTCCATCTGTCTTCGGTTCTGTGAGTGGGCGTGGCGGCGCCTGACTCCTGGGACATGACTGAAGCGCACCTCGAGCCTCCGAGGTACTCGAGAGCTCGGCTGTTCTCCTCGATCTAATAACATTAAGAATACATTGACGATATTCGTACAAAATTAAAACTACAACTTTTCACATATCAAAAATAGCTTCAAGGTCGAGGATAAAATGATTCCCTAAAATTATTGATAATATTCCAGTAAGTATTTTATGTTAATAATAATTGAAGTTTAGTTGTATATGTTGACAATAAAAATTCATTCGTTTTTTATAGAATAAGAGTGACACAAACAAGCACACATTCCAACTGAAGGTAAGTGTATGCTGTGACCCGTGACCCATAAACATCAAAACTCCTCGATTATGAACCTTTTAGAACTTGGAATGCCTCGTTTCCAGTAAAAATAATCTCCGGTTCTCTTCACTCACCATACGAACACAGCAGCGTTAATGTGCTATATTACGCTGGTATTCTGTGAGAGCGTGACCCTTCCCCGATCGAGCTGACCCATTCGTACTAGCACAAAATTTAGTTGCAGTCTGACCATACAATTATTAACTACACATATAGTCATAATCAAAGCCGTTTTGTAAAAATAAACACTTGATGCGGTGACGACCTGGTTAGAGATGCAGAAAGTCGATGGATGCAGGTGGCCCAGGACTTCAGGACCGTGATTTGTGGTATCTCTTGGGGTAGGTCTTTGTTCAGTAGTGCACTTTTGAAGGGCTGTTATAATGACGTTGATGAAATAAAGCCTTTCTAGGTAAGTATTAAGTATAGTTGAGTATTAAGTAGAATTCCTAGATACGTATTATCTAAAGAAGTGTCAATTTTATTCATATAGTAAAGCTTTTGTAAATGAAAAACGTGTAATACATCAGGTAAACATGTAATGTATTATTATAAATACTGCATATACATTTTAATTTCTTCAACGTAAAAATAAAATATTTTGAGAATAAAAAAATTAAAGACTAAAAATCTCTGCGTGGTGTAGTAACAAGTACTAGTTAAAGTCTTTAGGCGGTAAAAGAACCAGCTCTCTTTTAACTAGCGGTTGTGACAAATCGCAGCTGCAGTTCCTTTAGGAACCTAACTGGCGTGCACCCTACGGATCAATACTCTCTACAGTAAATGGCACAGACACTATATATGTACTCCGACAGTTCTTATTATTTGAAGAAACTACTATAAGTAATAGTTTTTTTAATTATTATTACTTATTTATAATTGTTCGCCGCATCAAATTTAATTTTAGGTCGAAAAATCAAGCAATAATTACAATGCAATTATCGTACAGTGTTACCCGAATTATTTTTTTCATCATTTTTTTTGTATGCATGTACTAACTACCAATATGTGTTATGTATAAAAATTATATATATATATATATAACTCAAATTTAAATTAGTCGGTTTGTAATCACTGGTTATTTTATGTAATGTATTATGCATATTATTGATAAGCATGTGCAGTGTGCACAAGTGTTTGCAACGTGTTGAAAATTACTAAGAAAGAGAAAAACAAGGTGATAAATTTAAATAACTATGCATAATGTGAGAATTTAAATATTTAAAATACACCATGAAAATTTGGCATTTCATTAATACATTATATGTATAACTAAATAAAACATGATATCATAGTATTTGACTTTAAAATGTTCTTCTGTGGCGCCAGTCTGGTTATTTTAATTACGGTAGTTTAGTGAACTATATTCGAGAAGGCAAAGATATTAGTGCTAAAGAAAGTATTGGAAGAAATGTCATGGACATAATGCCAATCAAAAATCCAATTTATTTTTTATAGGATTAGGGTGACAAGCGAGCACACCGTCCACCTGAAGGTCAAGTGGATGCTGTGGTTCATAAACATTTATCCTTGATTAAGAATCAAAATGCAGATGCGTGGTCACACCTGTGGACTAAGATGGAATGCCTCGTTTCCCGTATAAAGTGCCTCCGGTTCTCTACACTCACCATACGAAACACAGCAGCATTAGGCTGCGATTTTACGCTGGTATTCTGTGAGAGCGTGGTCCTTCCCCGGTCGAGCCGACCCATTCGTGCTACAACCATAATATAGCTGCAGCACGACTCTACCACGCAACCGGTATGTATATATAATTTCATACGTTGGAATACATTAACTTAATACAAAATAAATTAAACGTTGAATCGGGAAATTCAGAAAGATTTTTTTAATAGTAATAGTATTCAGATGTCTAGATAAATATGTAAATTTAGCTCTAAATCAAGGTATTAAAGCAGTATTTGTGATGACCAAAAATTTTATTCAAGCCTTGGACTGTATGTAATTCCGCTGTACAGTAAAGTTATATTGCGTAGTTACTTTAAAAGTTTCTCTTTTTTAGTTAAGTTTAAGTTATTGTTTTTACTCCGTTTTTCGAAAATTAACTTTTCATCAAATGTTGACGTTTTCAGGTCACAGGAAGCTACCCTGACAACTTTTAGATGGTGTCTGTTCTATAACTTTGATGCGTGTGCTGTTAAAGCCCTTCAATAACTTCTTCTGAATAGATTATAGTGGCTAAACGAATCCTTTCCTGGCTGCATCTGACCATGGTGACAATTTCTCAATAATTTTAGAAATTGTCAATCGTCTAGTCATGCTTGAAGTGTATATGCAAACTCACGAATGCTCAATCGGAACACATCCTGCCATATTCGATCGATTGTTGTGCCTAAGATACAAGAGCGAAAGATACATAAAAGTTAAGATTCAGTGACTAGTCGCTAGATGGCGTAACGACCTAGAAAAACGTGCTGGAAGTGTTTTTCTATAGGCATCCACTGATCTCTATATATTCAAGTACACATGGGCATCCCTTGGGGGAAGCCTATGTTCTGAAGTAGGCTTGTCTCTTAATTTGAAATCAGTTCAATAAGGTATAAGATAACAAATGAATAAAAACATATCCCACTTCCATTCATATGATTACAGAATGCTGTCAAAGGATTTTGTCAAGGATCCGATCGGACCACACTGTGGAATTTACTATCGCCAGCGGTCTTTGAGACAGATACGATTTAGAGACCTTCATGAAAAGATTCCACTTCTTTGTAAAAGCCTGGCAACGCATCTGTAATTCCCCCGGTATTACAATGATCATGTGTAACTTCTCATCAGTTAAGCTGTCTGCTCATTTGCCTTAACTTCCATAAAAAAAATCCGAGTGTGGCTGTGTCGTGGACACGGCCGTGTGCTTTACGTGAATACGAGCAGTAAAATGACCTATGAAAATGGCGGCGCACCACACTTCACCGCGCGGGATGTGTCACGGTCTGCACTCAACGTAACAAATTCTTTGATTCTTTAGCTATCGAGTGGTGTAATTAAATTTTGGAGTATATAATATACTGGATGATATTTTTACCGTCTGGAAAAAATAGGGTGTAACAAGGTGAACGGAATAAAAGCCTATGGCACTGATATTTTACAATTTTTTTTCCTTTTACATTAACATATTATGAAATTGAGCTATCAATAAATATTACTAATTGGATGCTTTTTATTTTAATTTCGATGGTTTTTAATTAATTTATTTATTTAGTTCAACATTTTTGTTATTTTTTTTAGTACCGAAAGTTTATTTCAAATTAGTAGTATTTATTGATGGATCAATTTCATAATTTGTTAATGTAAAAGAAAAAAAATGTAAAATATCTGTGTTATAGGCTTCTACTCCATTCACCTTTTCATTTTTTCCAGATGGTAAAAAAGATGAACCAGTATGTGTAGCTGCAACACCAAACAGTATCCCCCAATTTTGATATCATCAGTTTTTGGATTGTCTGCCACTATGGAAGCAAATTAAAAGACGTTTTCACGTCAAAAATCGAATGAGTGCTGGTTACATACAGTCCTGGCTCGAAAGCCTGCGTCGTACCCACCTTCTCTCCTTTATCCTGTGGGTCCAATAGATTGAGCGAAGCTTGCGCAAACAAAATATATTCAAGCCAATTAAAACAAGTATATTTAATTATAAACACATTATAATTGCGTGACAAAATATTACAGCGGCTATTAATCACTAAATATTAGACTTGCAACAGATATTCGGCTATTTTTCGGTATTCGGCCCACTCGGCTACTTTTACCTGATTCGGTCGAATACCGAATGTCTAGGTCAGGAGTGGCGAACCTTTATGTATCAAAGTGCCATTTTTCTAAAGAAAGTTTTAATTAGGTAATAAACGTGTCGTAAAATAATTTTGACTTCGTGATCATGGGGAAAATAATAGTACTAAATACTATCTACTTAAAAATCTTTATTTACTACAAAAAATAATTAAAGAGTTTTGAGTTGAGACTATTATTATACATTACAAAATACATTTTGCAATGTATAATAATAAATAATTCAGTTATAAGCGTAATTAAAATTAAAATTAAAATAACATTAGTGTGACTTCTGTTGTATTGAGATTAGATGACAAATAAGTATGTTATAATGGGGTTGTGAAATCCTAAATGTAACACAAATGAATTTTAAAATACAGTTGTGTCAAAAAAATTGACTAGTATGATGCTATGCGTAAAAAAACTATGCATTCCTTGGAGGAGGCGTGGACTTGTGATCGTGGATTGTGAACTTTGTAGTCGGTGGCGTGCCCAAAATATTGTGTCGCGTGCCATCGACGGCACACGTGCCATTGGTTCGCCATCCCTGGGTTCGGCCGAATACCGAATACTTACGTAAGATTTTTGGTTCTGGTCAGATAATTGGTAAAATGAAAATATCAATTTATTTAATAATAAAGTGTTTTCTTGTAATCATTAATAGTCATAGGTACATGTAGGTACATGAACAACTTCTGTATTATAAAAGTTAACAAGAAAACTATCACATAAATGTCTATCTATGCACTTGAATTATGGTAATATAAATTTATAAGTGCAGGATTAAGGTGTAACACAAATTTTCTTAAATTTCGTCCAGTAGTTTACTCCTTTTCATTCCGTTCATTAATCAGCTTCAGAGAAGACGCTCTGAATAAACACTACTTCTCGGCCGAACACTTTCGTCTAATATTCGGCTATTCGGCCAG